CAATTTGCTGATTTTTGCTGTGAAAAGCACGTCAGAGTTGCAGCTGGATGACGGCTGTTGGAAAGCAGCGGAAGATTATATTTTGATTACAAGCAGTTTGCAGTTGTCAAAGCTTCCTGATCGCAAATCTAACTCGTGTCAATCTTACAACGACAAAAACAAGACGATTATTGCTCTGCTGGTGTCAGAATGTCACTTATTCAAGCGAACAAGAAGACTCGGTTGTATGCACAGAGCCATTGAGAAAGTTAATGGAACTGTGACGTCATCGCATTATGAAAACGTGCTGGATCGCTGTATGCAATCCTTGAACGATATTGAGTACAATTCTTACACTCACTTTTACACCCACATCGAGTCAATATGTTTTTTGATTCACGCTGATTTGTGGCAAAAACAAACACAATCGCTTATGTTGCAGCTCCACGAAAACTCCTTTGAAGTAAACAACCAACTAAGGCTTGCTTCAGAAAACAACTTGAAACTTATTGAACAGCAAAGCATTGCGATCAACAGTCAAAAAAATTTGTTGACGCTTTCGAATTACATCAGCAATTCAATTTCGGCAAGTAACACAAAACTAGACGAAACATTTAGTACTATACAAAACCAGCTCGCAAAGGAACATGATCATTTAAAAAAAGTGTTGAGCGATGTGTATTTAATAATAAACAATGTGAACAAGTTTCAACAATACTTTCATCACAAATACTTGAAGTTCGAAGCATTTATTTTTTACTCATTTATAATAGTTCTAACCCGTTTGTTGACATGTTCATCTCGAAGTAACAATAGCCGGCACAAATTAAACATCTATTGGGTGCTTTGCTATTTCTTAGAAGTTGTTATCCACGAAAAAATTAATTTTAACCCAATGAACGAGATGAAAAACTCGCCAATTAATTTATTAAACAAAAATGTTTATGCCAAAAGCGTTCTGTTCAAGCTTTTAGGCCTCAAAAACGTATTTATCGCCACGCTCAGAGTAGTTTTCATTATACTCGGTTTTTTGTTTTGGTCGCATCAATATATTTCATATGTTGACCCTTATCACTCCGAGCTATACAAAATTCACCACGATGTTATTTTACTGCATCAAAAATTTGAGTCGCTCCACCAGTCGACCAGACCGCTAAAATCGCGTAAAAAAAGCCAGCACCGACACAACGAGTATTTTTACAACGATAAAATATTTTCAAAATCAAAGTTAAACCTTAAGATGAACAATTCCACAACGAGCTCGGACAACGAGTCCGACTTCGGGTACCAGTACGACGGCGATCACGACTTGAAGCCCAACTACGACATAGAAAACTGCGATAGTCCTTTGTTAACTCGAAACCAAAAATGATTAATAATGCAACATCAAAACGTCGACAAATAATATCTTGAATACAGCGATATGTATTTTTCCAAGAGATTAATGTAGTTTGCGCTCAGTTTTTTAATTTCAATCGATTGGTAGTGTAGTAACAACTGCCTGTACTTTCCCAAAATTTTTTTGTCAACAGTTCTGGGCTTGTCTTGATCGAAAACAGTTTGGTTTGGCAAATGTTTAGCTAGATTTAAAAAGTTGGAGTAGTAGTAGAATGTATTATAGTCACGCGAGTTCGCTGCGTTATAAGTCATGTATATTTGGTAGATATCGTCGAAAATCAAATTAGTTTGGTTAATGACAAAGAGCAAGTCGTACGTAAGCTTAGATGAGTTGTTCTTAAAACACAACGGGTTGTATTTAGGCATTGGAAACAAATTGGTCGAAATGCTGATTTTGTCGCTGTTAGTGTTCAAAAACTTTTCATTGTCGATTTTGTAATAAATAGCTTTTGCACACATTTCATATACTACCTTGTCAATGTATTCACGAACCTGTTGGATAGTTTTCCAATTAGCGTTTTTTATGAATTCTGAGCTTTTTTTTTCGCAGGTTTCAACGCATTCTACTGACAAATATCTAATTATTTTCTTTAGAAGCTTGAGCATGTTGAAAATCAAAATATTCATCTGGGTGAGCACAGGTCTAGTCTCTGGAAAATCTGAATGGCTACTTGATCTTTTTAACAAGGTAAACTTTTTTAAAATCCTTCTGTGTTCTTCTTTGATTGATAAAAGGTAGGACTGAAATAACAAAATGTTTTCTAACGTGTTTTTAGAAATCAAGATAAACAGCTTAACGTCGAACAGTTTCATATTTATAAGATAAGGTTTGTACAACCAGAAGTTTTGATTTGTTGCGTTTGAAAAATTGATCGTCTCTATTAGTGCCAGGAGTTCTTCTGGGTACTGTCTACGCAAATATTTTTCGTTATCTCTTATTATTTTAGCAACCACGTCATGATGCTTAAATAAGTTGGGCGCCTCGCTGTGTCTGTCTCGTCTGTGTTCTAATTCATCGAGAAAGCTGTTTTGGAAACTATTGTTCAGACCTAGCAAGAACTCAAACATGGTGCGAATTTGTATCTCGACATCTTTGTTGTACAGTATGAATTCATATATGTTCGTATAAAATATCTCTTGGAGTTTTTCCAGCTCTGAATGAAGCCGAAGTAAAATTTTTTCAGACTGGTTTGCAAAAGTCATTATGTTATTGTTCAATTTTGTGTCCAGAATGATGTGTGAATGGAAGTCATTCAAATCTTCAGAAGGAACTAGGTTTGTGAACTGAGCTATGACTGAATAAATAGCTTGCTTGAAATGGTTCAGTTGCGATTTGTCGAATTCATAATACTGGGAGAAAAAATGAAACGACGTGGCCAGCGACAAAATAGTCTCTATAGTGCGTTTTTTCATGAAACACGGAACAAGCTTGAAATTACAGCTTATTAGCTCTGTATCAATAAATTCAATTTCATCTTTATTGCTGACGTTTTTGTTTTCAATTATGAAATTGAGAAGTGTTTCAACCAAATGTTCAAACGCCAAGCACCATAAAGTATACGCGATTCGCGAAATCGCAACGTTTGGATTTAGTTGCAAGACGTAAAGATATTCCAAACATCGCAACGGAGTTTCCAACGCAAGTTTGTGGCGTATATTAGCCAATATGGAAAGCAAATTGTGATGGGGTTTTATCTTGTTTAAAATTTTAGCCAACAAAAGAGATTGAGCTACGTTGTACGTTATCATTTTGTCTGTGTTAGTTGTGTACACGTTTTCTTGGCTAAAAAAGTCATTGCAATAGTTTTGACTCGTAAGAATCAAATTTTGAAGAGCTTCCATGTTAGCTTCCCTACAATATTCCTGCAAAAGCTGCTCACTAGACGCGTTAAAGTCAGATAATATTTGTTCGATACTCTGTTGAATTTTCGTGATAATCCTGCTACCACTGTATTTCAGCTTCAAAGAAACCAAATGTGTTCTTTTGCTATCCAAATCATCGTTGTTAGACGGCAGCAAATTTTTCGATATTTGCCCGTTCGAAAGTACAAAATAAAGTTCAGTTTTTTGCGTGTTTTTTCGAGTAAACTTGGCAACAGGTTTCAAAAACACTTTTTCGTCGTTGAAATCTGCTCTGGCAAATTTATATAGGCCACCGCATAACACGATTTTGTTGATTATGGCGCAAATATTGAAATCAAGCTCGGTATTGTTTTCCATAAAATACCTTAAGTAGTTGCGATCATATTTTATATAATACGTGTTGTAACCGTGAAAGGACGTGATTAAATTTTGAAAAAGGATCATGAAATCTACTTTTTGGCGTATAATTTCCGGTTGTGAACTGATTTCATTGCTCGACTCAATATAATTTATACTTCTAGCATCGACATTGTGGCAGCTTTCTAAAAGTGTATCTATTGATTCATCAGAATTGGTGATCTTTCGCTTCGTAGCTAAAATATCTGGTGTGTAACAAGTTGGCCTGCTTTGGTCGAAATCAACGTTTTCGTTAATATCAGGCTCGATCGATCTTTTAGGGTTTTGTGTTTCTTTTTTTTCTTGCTGTGACGCGTTAGTACTAGTTGTCTTAGTGATCGAACTTTTTTGAGAAGATTCTATCTTTGGGTCTGACATAACTTTTTCGATCGGGTTTGCTGACAGCAATTGAAGAGTTTTTTTCAAGGCTTCTGGGCGTTTTAAAACTAAGCTCTTGTACAAGTTGTTAATCTCGCCGTTTATTACATCTAACTCTTTGTCACTTTCTTTCACATCGAGTTTTCGTTTAATTACATCATCTTTAGTTGATTTGCTTATCAGATCGTCAATATCCAGATTTGTTGTATTTTCGTTATATTCATTTCGTTTTAAATTTTTTTTGGTCAAATAAGCGTTCAACTCTTTTATAAACGAATCCAATCCAATATCATTTCTCATATCTAAGTCACTAAGGAGGTTTTCTGCTAAAATTCATGTGATAGCTTAGTGGAAAACCTTTTGCTCAGGAGCGTTCTATTTGCAGATCGTTTAAAACAAGCAGCATTTACATGACAATTTTTTAATAATATTATTGGGGTTTTTATATAATATAATTAATTATCGATAAGGATGAGTGTTATTGTTTTTAGTGGGGTCTGCGTTGGGTATGGATTCAAGCGATTTTGAAAATGCAATAAAGTTTGAAACACTATGTAAAGACAGAATAGACGAAGTGTTTTTCGATTCAGTGATCTTGCAATCACTCAAAGACGTTGTTATTTCGATGTATCAGGAACAACTATTTACGAAAGACACTGTTAACGTTTTAATGGCAAATGGACTTGCGGTAAGTTACAATGAATTTACGTAATTTAGAGTATTAAAAATGTGCTAAATAAAAGTTTATATTGCCAAAAGAAATCTCTGTGTAGCGGGATTTTGAAGGCCTTCAGGGGCGACAGGTCCAATTGGAAACTGTGGGTGAAAACCGACAAGATTCAGTTATACTTTAACAATCAAGAAATAAAATCAGATAAAATGTGCATAGAACTTTTGAATATTCCGCTTTCTTCACTGCGAAAAAAAGTGTAAATCGTTTGAATAGTTTTAATTTTAAATTTTCCTAATAAATCATAACACGTTTATTAATCACTATCGCTGAAATCTGAAGGTGGTTCTTCAATAAAATCTTCTTCTTCGTCTTCGTTAGCGAATTCATTGAGTTCGTGTCGTTTTTGCCCTTCAAAAGCTACTTTACTGATCATGCTCTTGTGCAAAGGCTGTCGTTCAGCGTTCTTAGGGTCGTTTTTAATTCGGTTCTCTTCTTTGCGCTTTTCAGCTTGAGAATGTACATACCTGACTTTGGTTTGGTTGTAAATGTATTTGGGGAGCTGGCGTTTAGTGAGTATTTTGCTGATTTCTGGCATGTGCGCATATTTTTCTTTCAACGCGTTTCGGTATTGCAAGCTCTTTTTTTCGCGCACAGAGGGAATACGCTCAAGCATGCTTGCTTCGCTTTTCCACAGCCTAACGTTCATATCTGCGGAACCTGTTAAAATATACTTAGAATCGTGAGTATATCGAACCTGGAACGCAGCTTGCATACGCTTGTTATGATAAATTTCGCGCGAGCGCGGAGAGTCTGCTTTCCAGATGCGAACAGTTTGATCGAAACTGCCTGCCACAAGTTCTGTGCCGAGAGGAGAAAATTCCACGTCGAGAGCGGCGTTGACAAACCCTGCATGAATGGTTTTGGCTTTGGTGAAGTTTCTGAAATCAAAACTGTAAACATTGCTATCGTCATTGGCTACAGCAAACATATAGGGCTTCATGGGATTGAACCGCGCAGCGTTGGACCTCATGTTCAAAGTTAATTTTTGCACCGCGTTGCCGACGCGGAGATCGTAAAACGTTATCGAGTTGTCATACTGCGTTGTTATAATAAGATTAGGCTCATTGGGACTATATTTGGCAAATATTATGTCGTCATTTCCCCATTTAAAATTCTGAACGATTTCTGATCTTTCAACATCCCAAAGACACAACTGTCGACCAGCAGTTATGAATTTGTCTTCGAATGGCGAGTAGTCTATGGAATAGATAGCCCCGTCTGTAGTAAAACTAGCGGACGGGGTCACATTGATTCGTGTAGAAAACTGCATTGTAATTGGGTCTTCAAACATATCGCCAGCCTCGTTAAGCTCTTCGTTGGTAGTGTTGTCTATGGCAAAGTATTTCTGAAAATTCCATTGGTGGATTTTACAGTCTTGACCAGCGGAAAAGATGTATTTATCGTCCCTGCTCGCTACGATTCCGTTTATAAACCCCGAGTGGATGCCTTTTAATGACCTGATACATTTTTTTTTAGAGATGTTCCAAAATCGAAGCTCTCCGTCACAGCTTCCAGAAAAAAAATCATAGTTTGTTGTGTTGGTCAGCGCAAGCGACTTGATTGCATCGAGATGCCCGGTGAACGAGTGCACAAACGGTTTTGCAAACATCCGATCGATTTTGGCGCTTTGTAAGGCTCTTTGGTATTCTTTCATGACAGCCATAGGTTTGCTAATCAAATCATAGTTGGTTAGTCTCAGCGTTGGCTTATTTTTAATACTTGAACGGTAAAATTCATCGTTCCTATCTAGTAACTTTAATTTCATGAACTTAAACTATAACTATATCATTTCTTACTCGAGCAAAAGTTGAAATTACTCCTAGTTTTTCCTTTTTTGATTTTCTTTGGCAAAAAAATTTAAATAAAAATTTGTTTTACCAGCAATAAAATTTTGGAGTCTAACTAAATTTGATAGGTTGACTATGCCATACCAACGGTGTAATTTTTTATTTTTCAAAAAATAGAACGGCTCCACTCAGACTTTAAATATTTTATTTATTCCAGCCTGATTTTTCATCATTACACTCTTTTCGAGTCTAATTGTCGTTGGCAGTTGTTATTTCCTCTTTTCGGTTGCCTTGTGATTCGTTATTTGTATATTCACGTAACTTCTTCAAGTACTCGACGTCTGGAAAAATAGACAGAGCAATATAGTTAGAGTTCAGAGCTTTGTCTGACTTGTAAAAAGTAATATCTAAGTTTTTGTAAAATCTACAATGAATTATCTATGAAACTTACGTTCTGTGCATGTTGTCAACGACAGCGAAGGTCAGTGAGTGTTGAATAGTTAAATAATTAAATATGTTAGCATGATCAGGGTAGATGTTCTGCTTCATCAGCGGGATGGCCACCTGTAAAGAAAGGTCTAAAGTGTGTTTTATACTGTAACTTACTTTGTATTGGGGTATAGTTCAGAATTTCGTATTCAAGTACGGGAGTAGAATTTGAGGTTAGCGTAACTGATTTGTTGTGAAGATTGGGCACTTCGCTCTCTTTAGACTGTTTAATGTATCTGCCTCCAAGGTATTCGTTCTGGATGATGGACATTGTGCACAGGTTTATGTTTATAGCAACGTTTACGAATAAAAGTTCAACTAATAGAAACCCATTCAAGTCGGCATTCTGATTAAGCTTGAGCAAAACAGCGAAACAATCGGATATTCTGAACATTGTGTTAGTTACTAAATGAGGCTGAAACGGTTTGGTTAAGCACACGTTCAACTGTGTTTCGCGACTCAAAAGTTCTGTTTCGTTTGAAAAAAGTACGATGTTAAGTGTGTAAACAATGGAACAGTTGGAACTGTCGTATGATGAATATTCGAACTCGACATTCTTGAAAACGAACGGAATGTTTAACGCGTTCTTATCCATGACTTCTTCAGAATGTACCATTTTAGTGAGGTAGAGAAACTCGTTGGGCACTGGAGATTTAAAACTTTTTTTTTTGAAACAGCCTTGCAATGAAGCTTTCAACTGAAAGTGTTCGTATTTTTTGTGAACGTCCCCAAATCTGACATCGATGAAACCTTGGACGTTGTCTAAATTTGTAAAATAAGTTTTATTCAGCGGATAATTTACTTTTATCTCAGCTTTTATTTTGTCATTGCTACTTGCTAGTAAAAACTCCTGCCAAGATGTAATCATTAATCACTTACAATCATTAACAAAACACAGCAAAAGTCACATTAAGTGTGAAATCTAAATTATAGAAATGAGTGTTGCCGAAAAAAACAAGCTTTTCGTGATTATTTATCAACGTCTGTAACAACTGTCTAAATTATGTCTGCTAAAATGATTTTTATCACAATAAAAAAATATTATTTAAAGGATATTATTGAAAGTAAACTAAATTTCAAATATTGATCGACTAGCCATGATTATCAACGAATTCAATGAGAAACGAGAATGATAACGAGTTATACAATGGAGCTGGGGTAAAATTATTTGACAGCAACGACGTGGGTGTTCAATTTGATACTACAAACATCGTTGAAGAAAACAAACAAAAACCAAATATTCAATTAGAAACGGCTCAAAATGGTTCACATGAAGACATAGATAATGTAGACCAATTTCAAGAACAGCAAGTTGATGCAGAAGCTTGGCGAAGCATTGCAGACGACATAAGAGCATTGAGTGCAAAGCGGAAAGCAAAAGCAAATAATTCGTTGAATATAAAAAAAAATTGGCAAAGTACAATGAAGTTGTGGCAAATATCAAATTGTTCGATCAGTAACTCCAAATTTTTTTTGAGAATTATTTTAGGTTACGAACATTTATTCTCAACGTTCTCTGGGAACCAAATGGGCATAACTGAGCAAAACTTAAACGATTTATACTTGGATAAAAGTTCTATCTTAGCTCAGCATTATACTCCTCTGTACTCAATAAATGCTCGGTCCGTACTATCTTTAGATCCACCGTTTGAAATTTGGTCAGATAGAAAATTCAACTTCAGCGACGTAGACATTGATAGGCTGTGCATTTGGTTTGAGTATTGGCAGTTTAATCCATACAAACCCAACACGTTTTTCGGATATAAATTGGTGAAACTCAGCTCAATTATTAATCTTAGTTTGTTCTTTACCGTGTTGATCCCACTGAAAAACTCATACAACGTTGTTTTAAACTGCATCTTGATGTTTGATGAAATATCAAGATTCACAATACATCTTTCTCGAATGACGATCAAATTCGCAGATAAATTAGTTAATAACAATGATGCGGGTACGTGTAAATAACCAAAACAATAATTATGTTTTTTTTAGAGTTGACCGATTTTAATGACAATTACAGCGTTACCTGTATTGTGCCCACAAATCCAAACAGTACAAAGAAAATCAAGTTCCGTTTTCAAAAAAACGGCACTTATCGAAATCTATTTGCTTATGAATATGTAGGTACTGCAAAACAGTTCTACAACGAAGTAATTCGTTTTGAGATTCACGTGGCTTTTTCGAGCAACGCATTGGGTAAGAACAAAATTGTAGGACGGTTTAATTTAAATACGGGCCAGTTTTTAAACAATTCCGAGCTGCAAACTCCTTTCTTTAATATAGATAACAATGAGCTACTTTTTTTCTTGGGAATAGTAACTGTGATGTTTCGAATTGTTGCAACAGATACTGCTAAAAGAATTAATAACAATATATTCGCATCACAGTTTAAAGAACTGCAGAGCAACGGGTACCAGCTGACTTCAATCGCAAAGTTTTCAAGCAAAATCATGACTGACTACTACTTAAATCACTATAACGGAAAAAAAATATACCTAATTGTAAACATAATTCAGTCTGTTTCATACAACATCGACCGGCCGGTGGCGTATTTTGAAATCACTTGGGATGATATTACTTTTTATTGTATTTCCAACGGTTCTGTCATCTTTCCTGTAAACTTAGTCGACAATCGCTGGGTCGACGCCAACTGTGTTGACAAAATGAGAGAAAAAAAATTGAGTCGCGATAACGTTGAAACAAATACAAATAGTGTGTATGAAAGTAAATATCTAGCATACGAAATATTGTTTAAAGGACCAATAACCATAACTGCAAAAAATAGTAATAATAACTACATAGGGAGTACCCAGATAGCCCTTACAAAACTGAATAAAAATTTCAAATATGAATCGCGAACAGGTTTCAGTGATTTTATGAATGAAGCTTACTTTGATTATTCAAAGATAAAGCTGACGAATCAAAAATACTGGTTTAGCGAGAAATTCGAAACAAGAGTTTCCAAGCTGGAAAACGTCCAAATCTTTGATGTTGCAAAAAGCAGTATGCATAAACCTGTTTTGGCTTCTGGGCTTAGCGTAGAATTTTATTTTTATCCTGATTTACCGAGATCGGTTGATCTAAGCGAATCTCTTGACATATCGATGCTTGAAAATGAAAAAAAACTAGAGCTCAAAAAACTCTGGGATGTTGACGCACTTTCGTGGTATCAATCGTATAAATATGTGTTTCCAAAAACTGAAATATTGCATTATTACTCGGCTTTTGTAGAATCAAAAGGCAGCTATTTACAGTCTTTAAATGAATTTATCACTCCATTTTGTGGCAATGATGAAATGTCAATGCCCCATCAAGCGTTTTATTATGTCAGCAACATTCCATTTATAAAAGGCGATTCAACAGAGTTCATGTATGCTTCTAGTTTATTCCAGCAAAAATTTGGCACCATTACGGGCCATGCGATTATGTTAACGTCGTTACTGATAGGAATGACATTTGACGCGTACGTTGCCATAGGTTCCACATGGAAAAATCCGTACGAACCATACATGTGGGTAGTACAACGCAACTTAGACAAGAGTGTGACTTTTTGGGATCCATATACTCGAAAAACTTATATACTTCCTAATCGGTTTGGCTTTGAAACTAGGGAGCCAGATGTGGATGTCAATTACAACATATACGAGAACTACGAAGATGCAAGTGTAAAAAGTAGCGAGCGAAACTACAACAATGGAAGATATATATGCGATTTATATAACAGTTTAGTAACGGGTCTGGGTTATAAAATACTAGATTACCCGCTTGCAGACATAGAACTTGAGGACTACTATGAAAATATAGAGGAAATCCAAAAAAAAATCCTCAATAAAAATTTAGATAACAACCAGTTCGATTCCGACGGTTTAGCTTATGAAGAGCAACAAAACATTATGAATAGCATGATTTCACAGTACAATGTGGCGTTTCACCCGGTAAATGAACTGTTGTTACACGAAAATTTGGCTTATACGCCGTATAAAACGCTGAATATTATGTTTAACCACGTCAATGTTTATCGAAATTTACAAAACATCAATCCAAACGTGATTTATTATGATGTGGAAAGTCCTTTTCAATGGGCTGCATTGTATTCAAAAGATTCAAAGACAAATACATTATCAAGAGACCACGTAGTATTAACTAAATTGTCTGAAGAGACGGATACAGAAAGTATCCAGAATTCTTTAGTGGCTGAAATTACCGATATGATTACGATGTTTAGAAACTTGAAAGCATTAAATAGTTATATAAACACTGATGATGTGAAAGTTGAATATTATTCAAGTTTGCTGAATTTACTCGAAGTCAGAGACACTCTAGATCCAACTGTAGACATTGGCTTCGCTAGCAACAAGCAGGGATTTCTCGTAGACTACTACAATCGATTAATTAATGAATTTTCTGAAAAAATGAATTTTAATGTGGATAAATGGTACTCTAACCCTTATGAGCTGACCGACATGTTAACAAATTCGAGTTCTGATCAGAAAAGCGAAGGTAGTAAAAATGAATATTGTTCTGTGAATTATGCTAAAAGTGGACAGAAAAATATCGTGCGAAAGTCTGCATTAAAATTAGAATCACTCGACGAAATAGTTAACTCAATGCTGAAAAGTCAAAAAAGAAATAGAGCTACATGTTTTTTTACGATCAATCCTGCGTCAAATAATAAGGTAGTTAATTTTATGCAGCGAGAACATCTAAATGAGTTAAGCTGTCCGTTGATTATCAAAAAAATGGACTCACATTTGATGTACAAGCCGATTGAAGTTTATATGGATTTATCTGAAAAAAATGCCGAAATAAAACAAGACTTAACAGCTAGCCTAGATGATGAATGTAAGCTTTTGATTGATAAGACAAGTGATTTTAATTTTACTAAATCAATGGACGCTAATAACAATACTTCTGATAACGCAGACAAGAATCTACCTCAATCAGTCAGTGACTGCAAATCAAAAAAAATTACAGAAGACCAATCTTTTGACGCTAGCATGAATAATTCCGCTTGCATTACGAAGCTCCAAGAGGATATACTTCACTACATTCAAAACTACATTCAAGAAAAAAAATGGCCTTTTTTCCACACAATTAAGTACAAAAAGTGTCCTTACTTGAGCGAAGAATACGAAATCAACGAAGACCTGTGGCGCGAGTACTATGCACTGGAAGAAAAATATTATAATTATGAAAAAACAAGTATTTTTGAAGTGGAAGGCTCGACCATATTTGCGTTTCCAATGCTACTGTTACATACTCCGGATTTTTCTTGTAGCAGTGTTTTGAGTTCTAGCAAAAATATAAAAAAATTGATAAACGTTCCGTTTAATAATATTAAATTTACAATTGTAGTAAAAACATTCTCTATGACGGGTGGTTTTGTATATTCTCGTATATTTTTTTCCGTTGTGCTGCCTACGAAAGCTCTACAATAATTTTTCGAGATTTTTTGAATTTTTTGAAGATAAATGCCAGGTGTTTTGTCTTAAATACTTAAACAAATAATTGTCAAACCAGACTATGGCTAACAAAGACCTTATCACTGAAGAATTTAAGTATATTTTACGTATCTTAAATACCAATGTTGACGGAACCAAGAAGGTCGATGTCGCTCTTACTGCTATAAAGGGTATTGGTAGAAGAATAGCTGTTCTCGCTTGCAACAGAGCTGGAATAGACATTAACCGTCGCGCTGGTGAACTCTCAAGTGATGAAATCGAACGAATAATTCCCGTACTCGTTGATCCAGCTCAATACAGAATTCCTGAATGGTTCTTGAACCGTAAGCGTGACCCTACTGATGGAAATAGCAAACACTTGACTTCCACTCAAATCGATTCCACTCTTCGTCTCGATTTAGAAAAGATGAAGAAGATGAGACTCAACAGAGGTCTTCGTCATTTCTGGGGTTTCCGTGTACGAGGTCAACACACCAAGACTACTGGTCGTTACGGTCTGCACGCACACCTTTCCAAACTAAAGAAATAATCTTATCTCATTTGATCTCTATTTATTCATTCATTATGTATATCTAATAGACTTTATATTCATTCGTTTTTTTTTGTTTTTACTAAATTTGAAATTTAAACATATCGAGCATATTGATATGATGAGCAAAGATTAAAATAACATAAATAGAATTGGTATAAAATTTGTGCCTTTGACGTTTATAAAGGAGACATATATTTTTTCAATTTTTTATTTTTGAAATTGATCATTAGTTACAAAAATAAAAATTATTGCTTCTTTTAAAAAACGAATAAACCTACTCTTGGTTATCCGAATAGTCAAAATTAAAAAAGCTTTTTGTTGAAGGTTTAATGAATACCGAGACTGATGTCGAAAACCAAATAGTTTTTAAGTCTTTTAAAGGGAACTTCATCACTACCCAAAATGATATTTTGGGGAAAGGAACGTACGGAATAGTTTATCGAGTGTGGTTGGAGCACAATCCTACGGAAGAGAAAGCGATAAAAGTATTCATCCCGGAAATTCTCGAGGAATCGGAAGGAATTCCTCCAACGACACTGAGAGAAATCAATGCTATCAAGTCCATAAACCATCCAAATATCATGGCACTGGATGAGGTAGTCATCGATAATGATTGGGGAAGCTCTAATAATATGTATTTAATTATGGAACTTTGCAAGGGAACTTTTCGTGACCGCATGAATGAATTGATAAATGTTTATTTAAATTCCGATCCTTCCTGGATAAATCCAGCCAAAGACCAAAAACTGCCTGAAGAATACGTACGCAAATGCAAAATAATAGCTTGGCAAATTCTGAACGCTGTGGCAGTTTGCCACAGCCGAGGAATAGTGCACCGAGATTTAAAACCAGCAAACGTTTTGTGGGGGAAAAATGATGAACTCAAAATTGCAGATTTCGGATTAGCGCGTTTCGTGCGCAACCGCTTACTGTCCGAGAGCCACACCATTCCTCAAACAGGCGAGGTCCAAACAATGTGGTACAGAGCTCCTGAAGTGCTTCTTGGCGACGAGAAGTATGGAATGCTTATTGACGACTGGTCTGTTGGCTGCATCATTGCCGAAATGTTCCGTTTCAGAATGAGTTCCAGTAACAAGCGAATGGAACCAGATCCTTTATTTCCCGGGCGTGGCGACGTTCACACCTACATGTTGATCACCGAGTCGCTTGGGTCTTCAGACAGTCCCTACCTGCGCAGACTGCCTTACTACAGCTCTCTGTTTCCAGACTGGAAATCTAGCAATTTAAGACAAAAACTCAGTCTTCTTGACAACGTCGGATACTCGCTAGTTACGAAGCTGCTAGCTATTTCGCCGCAAGATAGAGTTGCGTCTAGATACTTATTGTCGCATAAATGGTTTAATGATATCATGCCGAAAGTTTCGCAGTTCGTGCCTTGGTACAGGGGAATAGAAGAAGAGTTTCTTCGGTTGCTGCAGGTCGAAAAACTCCCTGACGCAAAACCGCTATCAGATGTCATAGAAAACGACGAAAACACGTTTATAAACTAGACGTTATTGATTATAAATAATCTGGAAAACCAGCTTCGCCTAAATACTTGTTTTGGCTCTATCTGTCAAGCTTTAACCTGATTCAGCTATAATTAACAATTAGTAATTGAACTAGTCTACAAAAGTAAGAATATCTACTGAAGTTAAATAGATCAGTACAATTCCATTACGATACATCATTAACTAAAGAAGGAAACAAGTTTCTGCTCAATGATTCCCGATTCTTGTAAGAATTACAAAAATTTTGGTTGGTATCTACGAACAATTCTTTTTTTTTGCCTGTGTCTAACGTAAAGCATTTTCTGTTCATCGGCAGTAGATGAGGATCAATCCTGCTCACTAACAGTTCAGCGGGATTTACTTCGTTAGATTCTTCTTTTTTGTCTTCAGTGAGACTTACATGATTATCCGTTTTACTTATAAAATTTTTACACTCGTCAAACAGAATATCAAACAAAAACATTTTTTACGGATTAGATTACAACTATTCTGAATGATAAATACAAATAAAAATTGCTGGCATGCACAAAATCGATACATGCCGTTTAGTACTTTGAAGTTGAAACTTGCAGTTAATTAAATCCAGACATGTTAGTTCCAGCGCATAACGCCACAATTGCGTATTTCAACAATAGCTTGACTATTTAACTTCTTTCAATCATTATTTTCTTTTTTAATATGATAAAACAATGAACGAACTAGCTTAACCAAATTTAGAATATATATAAATAAATAACATCGCTATAAAGTTTTAGAATTTATCATTCTCGAGACCACTAAGAACATTTGAAATATTATAAACCAAATTGAAACCAATGTCGTATACAATATCTCGTAAAAACATTTTTTAATTAATCACGTAAAATATCTAAACCAGTCGTACTGTGCTGGCAAGGTTCATTGTCAGATTTCCATCTGATTGTCAGCTGGGCACCGGTAAGACGGATTTTAACAAAGGGCCAGTTATAAAGCCAGACTAGAAATCCATTAATTTTTTAAAATAAAAAAATTAAATCTTTGTCAAAGATAGCAAATATCTTTCCAAACATCTACTTATAAAATTTTGGTTTTAAAAACTGTTTATCTAAAATTTAGGTTTTGAAAAAATTGCCGAACATATAATCTACAGCATCGTTTCAAATTGTTTTACGTCAAAAAACTTTTCGCAGAAGTATGCTCAAAAATGATATAAGCTATTTATAATTTGTTTCACACGTTAACACTAACACCCGTCTTCTATAATCATGTTTTTAGCAAATGTAAACACCAACAAGCTATACCTAAAAATAAAACTTTACGAAATTATATTTTTTGTAACAGTCTTTCCGATGGAAAAATAACGACAGAATTTGTTTTTATATAATCGTTTGATTATCACGATGCAAGCACGGATTAACCGGATATTATACTGTAATAATAGGCTAAAACATTTTGCTGGCTTGTTCCTAAATATTGCTGATTTAGTAATCACAGGAATCATGTAAATTTTTTCTCTTATATATGTTTCAACCCGAAAAGTTGAACTAAAACAATTAGTTTTATGAAGCGAGAATTATCACCACATAAACAAGCAAAACTATTCGAAGTTCACATCATTTTAACTAGTAAGATTAACTTCTCTAAATAATACGTATTAGGATAATTAATGGAGAGTTGCATTGCTTTAGTATTGTTAATCGTTAATAAAATACTGCGTCTTCATTATGTCAAATAAGTGTGCGAGCTAACTGTTTTTTATATGATCCATGTTTACTTTTGGCTAAATAACCCGTTAAAATAGACGATGTTTAAACGGACTCTGAAAAATTGCTTGTGGCTTTTAATGTAATAGCATCGGTTTATAAACTGCTAAAAATGTTTGCTTTTAAAATACAAAGGTTTGTACGGTAGACTTAGTTAATAAACTAAATCAATATTTTGTTTGCTCTTATCGGGTTGATATAAATAGTATTATTTTTTAACAATCCAAATAATTTAAAAAACATAGGATACAACAATTTATGCACAAAACTAAAAAAAACAAGAGAATATACAATGTCATGAAACAGAGAATTAAAACGATTAAAACATCATCAAACTCATTTCAAAAGATTTACAATTTGATCTGTGTTCAATAACATTACCAAGCTTGAAATTTATTTGCTCTGTTTAAATAGCGAAGAAATTATAAATTTATTTTCAAGTACCAATTAGAAAACAAGCTTTATTTTTGACATAAAAACTGTTTATTTCTTTATAATTATTGTTGCAGATAAGTTATTTATTTAAATATCATGTAACCTTAACAAATGATTATTAGTCGGCGTTTAGACTAGTAAACGGCTTTAGGCGGCTCTGATGGTTCGAGTTCTTCAATCGCGCGGTTCTTAACGCGTTTGTTTTTTTTGACCATTTTCCTATATTCTTCCCAAGACATGACTGACGTTCCTGCGTCAACTTCATGAGGCTCGACTTCGATGGGCACCAGAATTGGACTGGGGATGACCAGGTCTACGTCGAAAATGGGTCTATACTTATAGACAGGAACATCGACTTCGCGCAATGTGTACTTGTACTTGATTTTTTCGTGGCCACGTTCTTTGACGATTTCCTTTTTGACGTGTTCTTCTCCGACATATACGACAACTTCTTTTGTTTCGACGACGTCTACGATTTTAACAACGGGCAAGGACACTTTTATTATATCTTGTTTACCGCAAAACTTGGGAAACAGTCTTGGAACCATTCTGTCAATGCTAACTTTTTCGACTTTAAACTCTATTTCGACGGGGACTTCTATATCTTTTTCGACTTCTACAATCTTGCTAAACGGAACTTGAACTTTATTAGACTTTATCTTAACGTGGAGTTCTGGGACCTCGTGATAGACATCTTGTGTGTAAACACGCGGTATTACTTTATCAGTGACTAGAACTTGATCACACTCAATCAGCACTTGCTTTTTCTTGATTTCTTGTGTTAACGGAATAGGAATAATCGGCCTGTTTGCTTCGACAACGCACTTTCCGTTTTTTTTCGATTTGGTGAAATCTGGATACTTGACAGGATCCACGACGCCTTCCAGTGGGGTGTAGCCCGCGTACGGAACGTCTAGATCTTCTAGTTTCTGGCCATCTATCGCAGGTTCTTTAGTTTTATCGTAATCACTCATAGTTACGCGCACGTATTTTTAGATCTGCATGCATCATAAGGCGCAAGCTCAATATGAAATAAATTATATATCTAATCGCATAGCATCACCAAACTTTTGGATTAAGCTGGTTTTTATGTAGTCTCGTTTTGTTTCTAAATCTTTGATGTGAGCGTCGTAATTAGCGATGACGGTTTGCAGTGAGCTGATTTCGGCGTCCAAGTCGTTCAGTACGTTTCTTTCTACTTCATAGTTGTCAACAAAAATGTACGACTTAGCGTAGTTCATATACTGGTTTAGAATCATGTCATCCATTATCGTTTCATCGATGTCTGTTTGCAGTTTTTCACACTGTGACATTTCGTCTTTGCTTTTCATAGTTTGAACAGTGCAAGACACAAACTCTTTGAGTTGCTTGATCGCATCGTCGGTCATTACAAATTTGTCTGTTGACACCATGAGCGCGTACGATATTATATAAAATTTTAATTTTTAATATAATCAGCTTAATTTATATTAATTTTGTGGCTTGCTTGTATCGTTTCGACTGGGATTTTTTGTCAAAATTTTAGATCTGTAATTCTTATAAATAAAACTCAAAAATTAACGATTATCAAACGATAACAGATACACAATCAGAAAAATAATTATAACTATTTTTATAAAGTTGTAAAATACACAAGCTGTAGCTAGCATAACAACAAAATTAAACCTAAATTTTACGCTTATTAGATTTAATCAAAAAGGCTGAATCCCATATCGTCATCAGATTCAGATTCTGCTGGTTTGGGAGCTTCTTCAGCGGGCTTGGCAGATTCTTCTTGGGAAACTACTGCAGCGGCGGGAGCTGCTGGACCAGAGATACAAGATGATTTGAGAATGACATCTACATCGACCTTTTGGTAGGCTTCGGCAAATATTTTATACCAGTAGGATTCCACTTCGGCACCGGCTGCGTCGATAACCTTGGAAAGGTTATCAACATTAACTTCCTGACCACTTTGTTTTAATAAAAGTGCAGCCACAGCACACATTTCTCTCGAAGCAACTTCAACGTTAGACATGATTTATAATTACTGTTAACAGTTTAAGACCGTCGAAATTCTAATTTATAAATTTCACGACAAAACAAAAAAAACTATCAGCTCATATAATAAATTAGTAATATACGCTAAAATTAATATTATTTTGTATTTATAGTATTTTTCTCTTTCGAGCTAAATAAAAAATTTAAATAATGTTTTATTTATTCTAGAACCAAAAAAATATCAAAAATAAAATATTTAATACAAAAGTAAATAACATGCAAAAATTTTACTGACTTGTTTCTAATTGTTATGTCCCAAAAAAAAATGATAAACATTTTCAATTGTACTAAAAATTTTAATTGAGTCTAGCTAATTATTGCTTAAATAAAAACGTATTGTAAACCTAATGCCCACTCTATCTTCAGACTCAATGCCACACAACGAAACGAACGCATTGAACGATGTCACAAACAACGCAGCAAATCCGACTGAACCAAAAGTTGACGAAGAGTTGAAAACAACTGAACTTACTACTGAAGAACAGAAACCAACACTAACTAAATCTGAATCCACAGTTGAAAAAAAACCTAATGAGGATGACTCAGCCAAACAAACTGAAAAAGAAAATGACTTAGCCAAACAAACTGAAAAAGAAAATGACTCAGCCAAACAAACTGAAAAAGAAAATGACTCAGCCAAACAAACTAACATTCGCGGAAGTGGCGATCCCACAGACAATAATGGTCTTCGTAAAATTATTAATACCAATTATAAGAAATGCGGTTTGTTTTTACAAAATACTTGGTACTTGATTCCAGCAACTTTGATCTTACTTCCAAGTTACATTTTGTACGAAGTAATGAGGGACAACACTATATCTATTTACGCTCCAATTGTGTTGTTATCAATGTTGATATCAGGTTTATTCTTCGGTTCTTTATTACACCCCCTCCTACTAATCTTGATTTTAGTGTTTTACATATCATCTCGATTTTTAAAGCTCAGATATGTACGATTGATCAACTCTATTGTTTCAATTTGCTTTGTTGAGTTTATTCTAAACAATACGTTCAAATTCAAAGAGATTTACTTCCACGAAAAGATCTATTCGTCTCTTAGAGGATGCCCAATAAGGTTCATATGCTTATTCTCTGTTCTTTTATTGTGCTACTACATCTTGAAAGTACGCAGAAGCAACTCCAAACGTACTTCCGAAATCGTTGGTTTAAGGCACTTCATTTTAGTTATCATGATTGCTACAGGATTGACCTCTTATTATTCCATGCTCTTTGTTCATGAAGGTACGAAACTGGAAAGAATTTCTATTTTCTTAGACTCATTTTATGGAATAAGGGCTAACGGAGTTTCCTCCTTAGAATACATTATTTTTGGTATCACTTCCTTATTGCTTATTGCCACATTATCGCTTTATTATTTGTTAAAACGCAAATCGCATCGAGAAGAAGCCATACAAAATTTAATACCGCCTGCTGAAGAAGAATGGGCTTAATAGTAGTTCTAAAAACTTTTCAAATTATACTATAGCTATTAATAAAAACTTATTTTGTTTATCTAAAATTTTTTTTACCGCCATAATTTGCAAATTATTTTTTGTTTACTAGTAACTACTTTAATTTTTACTTACTTTTATGACTAATGCCCAAAGTTGTCAGTCTAAATTATCTATTTAATTTGTCAAAAATGTTTTTCGGTATTCCCGCCTGAACAGCTACAAGTATCCCGTGTGAATTTGGGAATACTCCGTCAACGAGTTTGTACGTGTTCTGGCAGTCGATACATTGCATGTGCTTGAACACCGTGTGGGGTGTATCGTGTAAAAATGTGTAAAGTGGGAAATGAGTTGTCCAAATAGTATTGCATTTTATCTGACTCGCAATGTATTTCGCTGTGTATGCAGAAAGCAGAGTCCCTTTTTCTGTGGATGTGCCTCTGCCAAATTCATCAATAACGAGAAAAGAACTGGATGTCGCATGCTTCAACATTTCTGACACCTGGAATAGTTCGATCCAAAAAGTCGATTGGTTAGCTGACAAACGGTCATATATGCCAATTCGTGTAAAGATCTTGTCAAACAAAGATAAAGAACTATCTGAAGAACAGTAAATAGGGCACCCGATTTGGTTTAAAATAAGTGAAAGTGCTACTTGTCTACTTAAGGTTGATTTACCGCCCATATTAGGCCCAGTTAGCACTACTAGATTGTTAGAGATAATGATGTCGTTAGGAACAAAACTCGGAACTGTCACGTGAAAAATGGGATGAGCGTTATTCTTCAAGTTAATTTGCCCTTTTGCTTCTAATAAGCGTGGATAGTTCATGTTTTCACGATTTAAAATCTCGGAAAAAACGTAATAACAATCGATTGTAGCAATCATATTTATAATCTCATCTATCACACAAAACCACTTCAAAAGTTTCTTGATAAATGATTTATAAATGCTAGTTAAATTTCGATTCAAATCGTTATCAATAACCGAAAGTTCATAACACAACTTTTGAATTTCTTCCGTTTGATATCGTATATATCCTTTTTTAAAACTTGTGACATTACCTTTAAATGATTTTGTTTCAGGGATTTGAATTTCGTATGGGGTTTTTGTATGGACATAGCATCGATCAAGCGGCATTTTTTGGATTCCAACATTCTTATAGGTAGCTGGATCATTAATAATATTGTCCAGTTTTAGTTTGATCTGACAAATTTTTTCGAAATTTTCGTCGTAATATTCGAATATACCGGGCTTAATAGTAACATTTTTATCGTTAACTTTAGCTTGATCCAAAATTTCGTTCAAAGTCGTTTGCAATTCTTGTATCGGAAGTTGACGAAAATTGCATAAAATGTCAGGGAATAAATCGATGATTTCGATGGAATTCTGAATGTCTCTAAGGAATTTGAGCAATTTTGCTATTTTATTTGTCGCTGAATTGTTGAAGTAAATAGCAGTTTTATCCACGCTTCCAACTTCATGTTTAAAAGACGCGCAAATTCTTTCCAAGTCGGGCAGGCTTTTTAAAAAAGATATCAGTGAATTGTACCTGTTAGAGTCTTTAGATAGATTGAGAACCGCTTGGCGCCGTAACTCAATACTCGAAATAGAATTTAACGGCTTTAAAAGCCATTTTGCCATACATCTGCTACCGAAAGGTGAAATACATTTGTTGATGAAAGGGAATAGTTCATCCATAATTGCTAGACTATCAATTGCAGAGCTAGATAAATACATGTAGTTGTTCAACAAGTTTGCGTCTGTGCAATTTTGTAGCTTGCAAGCAGGAAGTACTTTACTCGAAAGAAGATGACTTTGAAAGTATTCAAACAGCGCTTCAAAACATTTTTGGACGCATAAGGGTGTTTCAGAAATGAATTTCAAAGCGTTTAAACTAATACTTGAGTCTATTTGGTAAAAGGAATAATAATCAGAAAAAAACTGGGATAGAGCTTTTTCAGATTCGATATCTGAATTCGTCGTGCTAATATAAATGTATCTATTAGAATTTGCGAGATTAATGAAAAAAGTTCGATTGTCTGCGTAATTGTGCTTATTAAATAACATTTCTTTTGGATTAATAGAAGCTAGCAAAGAAGCCAGTCTTTCTTGATTGTCGCTGCCAACAATTAGGGAAGTAATATCACATAAAGCTACATCCACAATTAAAACACCTAATGTTTTTGTTCGACTATCGTGATATATGACCAATAAATAAGTTGATAAGTCACTCAGCATATTAGTATGAGTGACGCTGCCAACAGTGATGACATTGCAAATTTTTCTTTCAATAGCTTGCTCGTTGGTTTCTCGGCGCGCCATTTCGATTGGAGTTTCCATTTGCTCAACGACACAGATTTTATGCTTGTTATCAATTAGTATTTTTACATATGAGTCGAGTGAAAACTCTGGAAAACCGACATGAGCTTTTTTGTCATGTCCCATCCATTTAAGATTTAGCAGTTTTTGGCTGATAATTGCATCTACGTAAAACAGTTCGTAGAATTTGCCTAACTTAAATAAAATTATAGAATCGAAATTCTTAGCCTTGATGCTCCAGTATTGTCGCATCGCGGGAGTACAGTGCATAGAGTCTATTTCTTTATTTTTGACTAAGTTAGGAAGTGTGATCGATGATAAATTGAACTCTGGGTTAGTAATAGGTAACCCTTTTTCGTCTCGAATATGAACAGGATCAATCCAATATGGCAAGTTGTATATTTTATGGTATGCGTAAAAAGCATCGATATAGTTCATCCAAAAAGCATTTGTTTGCAGATGCAGGCAGCTGTATTTAAGACTTTTTTGCTCGATCAACTCGTTTACATCGTCCTCATAAGAATCGAGATTAGCTTTTTCATCTTTAATATAAACGTCAAGCGAGGTATTTTCACACTCGTTATAGTAGAGTTCTTCAAGTAATTTATCAGAAAAAAATTCTTGCGTGAGTGAACAATTATACTCATCATTAGATGTATCGCTGTCATCAGAAAAATCAATATCACACTCTTTAAAAGTAGTTTTTGAAGATTTAGCGACCGTGGAAGTCTGGCTTGAAAGTGAACGCCGTTTGCTATTTTGGATTTGTGCAGTCGATTTTCGTTTATTGCCCGTAGCATCGATTTTTTCCTCCTTAAAAACACATTCCAAATTGTTTGTCAAATTGCTCTTCTGGCTTTCACTTACTAACAGGTCTAATTCATCCACTATATTTTGACTAGACTCTTGTTTACAATCACCTGAATTTATTTTGGCACGACTTGAGTTTTTCAAAGTAACCGCATTTTTCTGATTTCTTGATTCATTTTCTTTGTTCGTTTGTCTGTGACAATCAGGATGAGTCTGCTGAATTTTGTTGTTAGAAACTAGTTGGTTCTCCCGGGTATTATTTTTTTTACTCTAGAAACTGAACTATATCTGGACTTACACTATTGCTAATAAAATTTAAAATAGAACTTTGCATTAAGAAAAATAATTCCACGGTACGCTCACACAGCGAGATAAGAATGAAAAAAGAAAATTATATATCTGATAAAATCAATAAAAATAGCAAATAAATTTTTACAAAATTAATATTATCCAAACAAATTAACGAACTGGTTTTATCGTTATTGCACTATGACATAAAAACTTGTTAATTAACCATGCTTGAAGGCTTAGCACATTCTATTGCCAAACATTATCTAGAACCATATATAATTGGGCTTCAAAGGGACAATATCAGCGTTGCAATTACCTCTGGATTGATTAGATTTCGAGACATCTATTTGAATAATAACTTCAACAATTTGATAGGTGGAAGCTTCAATTTAGAATATGGGCACATAGGAACATTAGAGATTCAAGTCCCTTGGAACAGTTTTATCTTCCGCTCATCTAACTCTTTATCTTTTACGTTAAGAGATGTAACTGTTTATTTAAAAATTAAAAACTACTCTGACGACATAGAAAAATTTGTAGAAGAAATTCGTTTGAAAAAGACGAACCAAATCAAAGCTCAAGTAGCGTCAATAGTTAAAGACAAAGCGATTCAACTGGGGTTGTTGAACGACACAAATGAGAAGTCGATCAGCTGGTTCAGAGGCATCATTGAACGGATGCAAGAAAATTTGACAGTTGATATTGTCAACATTTTTGTTAGCATTCGTGAAATATCAACTAAACTCTTCATAAGTTGCAACATTGGTTTAGTAAATATTATCAATAAAGAGCTAGTGGAACATGAAAACTCAGATAGTTCAGAAACTTTGAAGGATATCATAATTGATAACCTTCACATTCTCATAGGTGAATTCAACGTTATACATTTTGAAGAAGCCACAGGAGTCACGTTAGACATGTTTGAAAAAGATTTTTCTCAATTCAGCTTCGTTAACGGTAATGTTAGCGACTTATCTAACAACGATATCGAGAACAATTATTTGCTTTTCCGGCAACACCGTTGTTCAATGATATATGAACAATTAGCCGATTCTATTAGACACACTTCTTACACGAATAAAGAAGACATTGAGTTAACGGTCCCGGCTATCTATGATTCCACACAATGCTTGTTTTTGCCTCATGCCTCTACAATAAGACCCGATCTACTTAAAAATTTAGAGACATCTGGTAAAATAGACAATAATTATTCTACAATCATTATTAATAGTTACAGCGTAATTATCGACAATTTACAGGTTAATGCTACTTGCAAAATTCAAGAGACTAGAATAGACTTCGACATCGCTTTTGCCAAAGATTTAAATCCCATAAACATCAAAGCAACTACGGTTCAACGTTTATTTTTTTTTCTTCACCACCAAAAATATCAGGAATCGTTAGTCAAGAAAGCACAGATCAAAAATGTCAGAGGCATGGATTTATCAAAAGAAAACTTGGAAAACGAACACAAAAATTCTTTTATCAGACTTTATTTGACTAAGCTAGAACAGGAGCGACTTAGTTCCGCTGCGGAAAAACGTTTACAACTATATATGGATGTAATACCAACTAAATACTTGATAAAGTGGATGCTATATTGTGAATTATGGAAAATAAAAAATGCTTCTTCTAAAAAATACAAATCTTCAAACACGGAAAATGCCGAAACAACAGAGTCAAATTGGTTTTCCAATTTGATTTCTGAGCACGATGTTTTGTACATTCAAGACAATTTAAGTTTAGATTTTTTAGAAAACTTGATAAAGAAGTCTTACCATTTTCATTTTAACGTGCCAAAAGTGCAGTTTCAACTGCTCAATAGCGGTAAAGTAACAACTGTTCATTTAAGTGATTTCAAGGTTCAAGTTGACACTCAGTCAGTTATAAACCATGAATGTAAATCTGTCAACGCTTGGAGATTTACTCTAAGTTTGTATTCGTTCTACATCGCTTACCAAGATGAAATTTTTCTGCAAGTTGCAACTGAAAACACAGAGGAATTTTATTTCTGTGTTCACAAGCACGTTGGACAGGATAACGACAAATTTGTTCTAGGCGCTCAAATATTACCAATATTTATTCATTTGGATTATCACATCATCGAAGAAGTAATTAAACTAGCTAATATTTTTTCCAGAAACTATAGCCAAAAAAATCATGAAAAAAGTTTAACCCCTGACGAGCAAGGTATACTTGATACGAAATATTTTTCATACTCGTCAAATAAACACATCGAATTATACATAATTTGTTACTCTCCGTTGATCATCTACGAAACAAAAGATTTCGCTATGCTTATTGATTTCGGAGAACTATACATAGTTTCTGATAAAAACAAATCTATAAAAAATATTGAGTTGAAAGCAAGTCTTAAGAACGCTTCTATTTTGATTTGCACGGCGATTGAAATGAAAAGAAAGCAGATTATTGACAAAATTCGAGTTTCGAAACTCACTAGGCAAGTTATTGACAGAAATACTACTATTGACGAAAAAATCTTTAATAATCAGACTAACCTTGATTCAATCGCCGGATTGAATTTGCGAATTTTAAGACAATTTTCACACAATAATGGCGGCGATTTTAACGTGAAATCTGGATCATCAGACTATAACCATGAAAACGAATATGAACTAGTTAATATTCTGCTTCCGGTAAACATTCGTATAAACTTTTCTCAAAATTCTTTTAAACCTACAATCGATATCTCGATCTCTAAAATTCATGTCTCATTCTACCCGGCTTTGACAAAATTAGTTTTTCAAATAGTGGAAGAATCTCTTCAATTAGTAAAACTAAACAATTCCTTTATCTCTGAATCACATAAAAGCGTTAAATATAATGAAATTATCGATATGATAAGTTTATATTTACCAATATATGATTGTAGTGAGCCAATCAACGAAAAAGAATTATACAATTTGACTTCTAAAAACGATGAGTCTCACTTTAACGAACAATTTTTTGAAGAACAAAATATGGTCATAGAAGTTTTCAAAATAAATTTCACAATCAAAGAAACTAGACTAGACATTATTTCACATAGTTCAGAAAGAATTATGCGTTGTCACACCAATAACAATAAGGTAACTTTAAATTACGAACTTTTGCGTCATGAAGATTCCTTACCTTATAATTTGTTTCTTGTTTGTTCCTGCGATGAAATAACTGTTAAAAGTTTGTCTATGAACACAAATATAATAACTACAGCATTGGACTCAGTACCAGATAACAAAAAAACTATTATGTATTTGGTGTTCAAATATTCGTCTAGCGATAAAACACTTGACATATCAGCTGAACTGAGTGCTCTAAGCGTTTTGTATCATAAGAAGATCATCAAAGAATTAATCAATTTATACAATGCTTATAACATTGACCGAGACTTATGGTACGATAAAAGCCAGTTAATAAAAGCCGACGAAGTTAGTCCTTACAATAATACAAAATTTACATCGCATAAAGGTGACGTAGATAGTTTAGATAATGACATATTGTCTGATGAGAATTGCAGCCCAATTACAAAAACATCGTTAATAAAAGAAATGAGGCTAGATATTAAACTACCGATGATTCACATCAATTTTTGGGACAGTGTCACAGATTCGAAAGATTCAGAATATTTGTATGCTCATTATTATGGACACCAACAATCCAACGCAGTATCAGATCTGCCTACATTTTCTATTTCTTTCTTTTCAACACATCTAAACTTCAACCTCTATGACGTTCAACAGTGGGTTTTAGACTTAGAAGTAGAGCAAATAAACATTTATAATTATGACGTGTGCACTTTGGCGTCTAAGGATTTCGGCAGCAAAGGATTTCATCTTCAATTTCAGAATAACTATGATAATTCTAACTTTCAGAAATGTTTCATCAACATTGGACCTGTTGAATGTGTATTTTTTTCCCAAAACATTATTTCCATATATAATTACATAGAAGGTAATATACTAGAATCATTGATTAATGAATCGTATATAGTGGCGAAAACAATTACAAAACAAAAAAATTTTTCGTTAGAAATCCATTTGTCACAAACGATAATTTATATCAGTGAAGACAAAAGTGTGATTCCACAATATGAGCCCGATCAAGTTGTTTGTAGGAATCGGGAACGTTATAAACAACAAATTATAAACAATTTTATTGCAAAAAACCAAACTCTTAACGAAAAAATCGTCGAAGAAAAATTAAAGCAAATTGGAGGTTATAGATTTGCGAAAAAGTATTTAACGAAATATGATATCAACGCGAATTCGAAATTTGAAAAGAAAAATAGAAATGTCGATAAATCTTACTTAGGAAGTTCTATAGAAATAAATTTAATCGAGACAGATATTATTCTTAATGAGTCTGATTTTAAAGTTCAGATTAAACAAATCGAAAGTAAAATTACGCTTTTTCCGCTGGCTTCACATCAATTTGTGCAAAGTTCGAGCATTACAAAACTTTTAGAGCCCTTTTCTGCGAGTCTTTCATTTGAAAAAATTGAGACTAATTTATTGTTAATAACAATAGATACAACCTCAATCACTGCAAACTTTAGGAATTATCAGGATTTAGTTTTAATGTTAGATATTATTAATGAAAATTTGACTTCTGGAAGTTACTCTCCAGATCCAGTAGTTATCGATAAAAATGCTGAAAATAAAAAGTCAGACGTAGAAATAAACTGTTATAATGAAGATGAACTTAAAGCTATTCATCAAAATTACTCAGTTTATTTTGTCAAGATTAATGTCGAATCGATCAAGTTAACAATCATGCCAATTGCAAAATTTAACTTCGATCATGTTACAATTAATTTTCAGTTCATGCTATTTGCAAGCTTTGGAACTCAGTCTTTTTTGCTAACGAGCAAAACTTATTATATAGAAGATTTGAGCTCAAAAGAAACTTTTTGCTCTAAGTTCATATTCACTGAACCGTTGTACGAAACTAAAACAACGACCATCCGTTGTAACAAAAACGAAAACAAGCAAATTATTGATGGAACTTATCCTTTAAATGCCAATGCTTTATTTAAATCTAGTCAATATTTATGGATCCCAGTTTCCGCGTTCTATTCTCGATGGTATTTGCCGTTAGGTGTAGATCTAAATTCCGAGTATGCACAGTTTACAATGTCTTTCAATGCTAATTTGTCAACTAGTACTTTAAGTATTTGTATTAAAAACCCGTGGATATTAGCAAAAATACAGTCTTTTATTGACATATACACGTTTATTACAGGCTCTATAAGCACAAGTTCGTTTACAATTTATCCTAAACCTGCTGTAGCGCTATTTTTAAAGTCGACAGTTTCATCTAACCGGAAGGATTTGAAAGCTCCGAAAAATAATTCGATGAGTACCACCATACAGATAATAGACGCTAAAACTATCTTACCCACCTCGTTCGACAATTACTCTTCGCATTTTTTATTTACTACTGATTTGTTAATTAATTGTGATTCAAACGTGCTTGGGGTTAAGTTTTCCAATATCTCTTTACAAAACGCTTCATTGCATATCATTCGAAATTACAGTGTAAAAATACCCGAACCTATAGTGAAACAAAACAAACTATTTATAAAATGCATTTGCCCAAAACTCATTTTCGCCGGCGTGGGTGGAATTAAGTTATTGTATTCTCAAATGATCGCACCAGCTTTGTGGGAAAAAAGACAGCATAGACTGAAAATGTTTTCAAAAGAATTTTACGACTTCGTCGCAACCTCTGAAGCCGCTAATTATTTTAATATCAATGAATTATATTTAGATTTTGCATTAGTCATAGATAGCATTGCACTGAGTCCAGATGATTTAATAATTTTAATAAGAGCTTTTAGCAAAGTTTTACACAATGAATCAGAAAAATGTCTCGCCATACCAGCAAAGATTATTCGCCCTCCTATATATAGTGGAATTCTCATTCCAATAATTGACCCTAATTATATGTCGACTTATACATTTTACAATATTTCAATCAATATTTCTGATTTCAAATTTATTCTACTGTTCAACAACGATGAAATGCAAACTTCATATTTTAACGATTCTAATGTTATACTTCCTACTTATATTACAAATGTAGAAAAAACCAGTTTCCTGTTTTCATTTAGTCCTAATATAATACAATTCACCATTGATAACTTCGTTTGTAATCTTTTATCGAGAAACATTGACTCAGGAGAGTATGAACCTTTAGTTGAAATTTTAAGTCTTGAATTATTAGATTACAAGAAGAGTGAAGAATTTTTTACTTCTCTTCTTAAACTTCGTTTAAAACTTGTTTTGGCCAGGGGAAGACAAATAACAGATGACAATTGCTTCCTTATATTACGAACTTACATCGATAACTTAATGCCCAGTAAAAAAACAATCAGGCCAATTACTCATCAGAACTTCAAAATCAAAATGAATAAAATTAAACTCAACTTTAATCCTAGATCGATTCAATTGCTTTTGTGTTTCATACGCATGGCTTCATCTTCAAAAGTTATTTTAGAGAATCAAAACAATAAACTACTGCATATATCTGTTACTTATACAAATAAAACAGGCTTACCAATTTTGATTGCTGAAAATTTCAATTCTGCATGGAGTACTATATTGAATTATCAAGAAAACTCCAATTCAGCTAACTTTTTAAATTTAGATGATAACGATTCTAAAGTTCAAGTAAACGCTTTCTACTTAAATCAAAACAACATATTTGGAGATAAAACAGCAATATTTTTGTCAGTAGGACCCCGATTTGAGTTAATTGACAGTATTTCTAATTTGATTTTGACTAACGTAGATGAATCGGCCAAGCTTAGATTTAGTGACCTTGATGTTTTTCTAACTTCTGTTAAAACGCAGTCCAAGTGCCAAACAGCAAATATAATTTTGAATCAACTTAAAAATTCGAATACTTTAAACAAGATAGATCATGGTTTAAATTCTCGAAAATTCAACCCGAAGATGCTGTTAAAACCCATCAAACTTTTGCCGGAAACAAAACTCCAAAAACTGAAGTTATATGAAAATAATCTTGTTTGTTTAGAAACTACCTACAACTTTTATCAGAATACAGATAATCAAGCACCCGTTTATTTGTGTGCTAAATCTTACTTGTCCAATCCATGGGCGAATACTGTTATAATAACATCACAGGCAGTCATACAAAATACAACGAACATATATCTTGAATTAGTTTTTTTCAACGAAACAGGCTACAACATAATGTATCTTCATAATCCTTACAGTTGTTTATATGAAAATACTAAATTTTCTACCAAAAGCGTTGATGTGTTTCAATCTGACAAAAACAATGATAACATGGAAAATAGTGATGAAGTTACACGCGAAAAAAATATCAATTCTATCGATTCTAGTAACGACCCTGAATTCAAGCATCACTGTAACGACCCGTCTTTAATGAATAACTTAGATGGAGTCTTTGATTTTGTCAAAAACTATATAACGAGCAGTTTGTATAAAATGATTATCCCTCCCTTCCAAAGTTTAAGTGTACCTCTAGAGATGATCACAAAAAATGGAATTTATTTTTCTACAAAACCATTGAGTTACACCATTGATTCTTTATACAATGTTGATAAGACCGTTTTAAGTGAAATTATGACCAATAACAAGGAAGGTTACATTTTTGACGATACAGTTTCAATTGAAGAATCTCCAATATCAGATAGATATAAAAAACATATATACTTGGAGAAGTATAAAAAAAGAACCTCAAAAATATTTCGTATGAGAAGTCACTATTCACAATCGAAGGATCAAGAAAGTTATTTGTCGATTGAAACGGAAGGATCTTTTTTAGTATCTAAAAAAGACTTAGTTAAGAACTTTACAACCCCTATTAATTTTTTGAATTTAAAAATAAATGGATTTAGCGAAATTGTACACATTCCACTGACTGCCTATATTGCCAATTCGAGCAAGATATTAAATTTTAACTACATCTCGCTTACTTCAAAAGATAACTTTTCTATAAATAGTAATTTAATAGAAAATTTCCCCCTCAAGGCTAAGAAAAATAGGTTTGATTGCGCAACTACTCCGGTTGCGGATGAAAACTCGAATAATTTTAATAAATACGATTACATTTCTATCAAAAAAAACAGCAGTGTCCAAATCAATCAACACCTGCCATCTTGTTACTTTAAGTTAACACTCGAATCAGAAATAGTTGATGAACGCCAGGGTTTATTGCTTCAAACTCTTACGATAAGTCCGCCTTTGACAGCAATCAACGTTACACACTTAGATTTATTTACTTTTATCACTTATTCTGAGCATAGAAAAATTTCTAATTATTTGCCGCCTCGAAGTGTATTTTATTATTTCAATTTACCTGCTCAAAAACTATCTAATAGTTACTCGGTCCAACTGGCGTTAATCGATGAACAAAAAAAAGATATGCAAGATCAGAGCACATTTTTGTATAATATGTCGCAGGAAGCATTTACAATTTCTGCTAGACCTGCAATTTTGAAATACGAAAAAAACTCTTCGACGAAACAAGTATCAGAATCAAAGAATGCTGTGACTGATTTTATTAAATCTTATGACGCTTTAAAAACGATAAAAACTGTAGTGCAAACTAAAAATTACGAGGTTTGTTTTGAAATATTGCAAGATAATACGGACATTCTGCCTTTTATATTTTTTAATAGTCATATTTCTCACAAATTATTTGTTGTCTCGACGTCAGACATAATTTCTAACGTAACCGGTCTTCCGATTAAATTCCTAGGTAATGCTTTAAATTTAATGCCACTGAGTGGTTATTCGGAAGTGTGTAAGCTATCTGCTATAACTGGGACAATTTTAAACGAACAGGGCATTAAACGCAATTCTTCTAACAATACACTATTGAAAGGACAAATAACTGACCAAAATAAAGAATTTGCGCACGACATCAAAATATTGCACAATATTAATAATTCCAGCTCATTATCCATTATCTACCAAAACAAAACAGAAAGTTTACTAAGCTATGAGGTTGATTTAAGTTCAGAACAGGCTCTTGCAAATGTAGTTTTCGCTTTGGACGATAAAATAACTTATCATCTGTGTGGAGTATTTAGAAATTTAGACTATCACTACACCGCTGGTTCTTTAACTCGGCTACTTACCATTCACGCTAAATATTTGGTTATCAACGAAACTTCTTTTGACATGAAGCTCGTTCGAAATTCTGATCTTAAAAAAATTCAGCTAAATAAATCTGAATCAATACAGTTTCCTTACTTGATCGATGAAGATCCTTCATTTTTTATTACATTTGACAACGTTAATTTATCTTGCTTGGTACCTTTCAAAGAATCTCACGTTGGTGAATTCAAATTATGGTTAATGAAGGGAACGACAAAAATTTATTTATCTCTAATAATCAAAACAAACGACAACATCTTATGCTGTATTATAAAAAAAAAGAATAGTGCCAGCTGGACTGTTTCAAACTTATTGATGTCAAAATTGAGTGTGAGATGTTCAATAAATTATGATTATTACAAGTTAGCAGCCAAAACGGACGCAGGAGTAAATCTTTTGTGTTTCCAAAAGAATATCACTCTAATGAAAAAAAGCGATCATAGCGATAAAACAATGTTTCTTTTTTCCAGCAAAAAGACTGAAACGATTACAATTGATTTTAATAACACTCAAGAAATAGTTCATTACAACCCTTTCTCTTCTTTAGACGAAGCGATGTTCGTTTTTGAATTATTGTACAACCAGCAATTGATGAATTCATCAAGAACTATATACAAAACTACTGACAACGACGTGGTTTTACGATGTACAATGAATGATGCTTTACTCAAGCTGATTTACTTAAACAGAATCAAGCTTAAACCAACTAAAAAACAATTTACTTATCAAATACTTCGCAAGAATAACATAATTATTTTAACTTCTGAACTATGTAATCAATTGTCTTATTATCACAGAAAAGAAAATTCAATTTGCAAAGACGAAATTATTTCTTATGTAGAAGAAAAAAGTAATTATTTTGATTTGCATAAACTAGGCCAAAACGGTAACCTGCACCAAAATTCTACACTTTTAATAGGTTTCGACGTCAATTGCAAAGTCATTGATATCACATGTTTTAGTACTTTTTTGAAGCAGGAAATTTTGAATATTGAATTAAACCACATTAAAGTAAGATGTAAGAAGTACAATGAAATAGCCAAATTGACATTTAGCATAAAAGACGCACAGATCAACAATCAAAACGACGATTCACTTGCTTATTCAGATGCCAGCCCTGTGATACTGTGCAACCAGGGTTTAAGATCATTCATCTCGATCACAGCGGACTTGGTGTCGTCTTCCGAGTTACTCCACTTTAAGTCGATAATAGTATCGCTGGACAATTACGAAGTCGAAATCAACACCGAATACATATTGATACTGCTGCAGTTTTACAAAGAATGTCTTAAGTCTCACGGATACACGTTAGATACGAGCCAGGGAGCCTTAAAAATGAAAGATATTTTTTATTTGGCGAACTGTGTCAACTTTCATCAACTGTTGAAGAGGAGCTTTCTCAGACCGTTAATAATTTCTGAAAACCAACAAATGATAATCAAAATTGACAATTTGCAAATAGAGGAGTTCAAAATCCGCACGTGGCTTAGTCTCGTAGTAGACAGGCTGAGTTTTCTGAAGCCGAGAATTTTGTTTTTGATAAAGGTATTCACTTTAGGCTGGCGATTGCAGTTGACTGGCGCTCCACTTGCGTTTGCAGAGACAGTTTGGAAGCAGGGTCTCAGAGGACCTGGCGTTTCAATCGTCGAACAAATAAAAACGGCTTACACAAATCAGTTGTTCAACTCGATTTCTCTTTTAGTGGGGTACGGTTTGTCAAATGTGGGTAAAGTTCCGGGCGAGATATTGAAAAGCGGCTTAAACGCCGGTCTATCTACTGTCAATTTAGTGACAAGCACGGTTTCCGACATTTGCTCCGGCTTAACGTTCGACACAGAATACATTGAGAAGAAACAGTTCGAGCAAAAGAAAGTTACGAGTTTGGAGGCTGGTTTACAAGCGGCAGCAAAAAATGTTGGCGAAGGTTTTATTGGCATTGCAGACGTGATAACGAAGCCTGTCGAGGGTTTGCGCAAAGAAGGCGGCACTGGTTTTATTAAAGGCATTGTTCCAGGAGTCTTAGGCACTTTGTTCAAGCCTGTGGACAAAATCATAGGTCGCGCAGTTTCGAACTTGCTATCCGGAGTCAAAGCTAAGTATAGCGAGACTAAACACACAGAAAAAAGACTTGTTAGAAGCAGCAAGAAAAAACAATGCGTTTTAATTGACAAATCGGGAAACCACCTATTCTACACGTGGACCGCAAAAGAGCAGGTAGACACCAACGTTGCAGGACCAGGCATAATCATTGTTGATGCGTCATCGCTAATCTCGATTTCCGGCCACGCCATAGCTTATTACTACTGTGTAAAGCAAAACCTCAACCAGTACAGACAGCTCTGGTCACTGAACCTGTACAAAATTGACGATATTATTGCGCAAATCAACGGCATCGAGTTCAGGTCCGCCACTGAGACTTATCACCTATATATCAATAACCAAAGCCTCATTACATCTATTTACAACCGGCTGTTCACAGCAATAGCCAACAAACAAACTTCATTTGTCGTCCGCAATGACAAGCTTTATAACAGCTTTTACGAAAAGTTCACGAAAAAATCGTCCTGAAAATGTAGCACTTTCATATATTTTTACTATCTTATTAACTTAAGAATTATCTAAATATTTTATAATTTCTTCGATTTCGTCATTATTACTGTCTTTTAAATAAAAGTCTAATTCATTGAAAATTATTTTAAAATAATTGTAATAGTACTTAAAAATGTCCAGAGCTAATTCGCTTTTAGAATCGATTTTGAAATATTCTGTTTTTCTTTTTGCCAGATGTGTGTAATTGATCAAAGATAGTCTATCAAGCTGTCGGTTGATGATCGGAATTTCGGAGTCGTTGTATACTGAGTCATAAAGTTGGAATGTTGTGAATTCCACTGGCGCTTCCACGTCCAAAATGTCATAAACTAACTCTGACTTAAACTTATAAGCAACTTACGGCGTCTAAAAAATATTTTAGCTACTTCTTGATTTAGATCGTACAATTCGCGAACTGACATGAACGAATAATCTGTAGAAGCGTGCGCGAACGAAAATAAAGCAGCAATGATCGATATTAGGAAAAAATGCATATTTAGGCCATCGCCAGATTTTGCATATTGATGTTGAAATAAATAGTTCGAAAAAAAGTAAAAAATTAATTAGTTAGTTTTTATTGAATAAAGTTTATTTATAGAGCTAATTGATGACCAGGCATGTGTTTTCATCTATATGTGACAAATACTTTGGTTTAGACAGAAACGTGCCGAAAAATAGTGCGTCGAAAGAAGAATTACACTATTACGACCCTGATGTAAGTGATACAGTAAAAAAAATTTAAAATATTATAAATGGATGTTTAGGTATGCAAGTATTATCTAGTGGATTTTTGCCCTCACGATTTGTTCTCGAACACCCGGAGCAACTTGGGTCCGTGCAATAACCTCCATCTGGAGGTATTACGCGAGCAGTTTCAGCAGGCAAATGATCCTGAACGGACATATCGGTACGAATGTGCGCTTTTGTCCTTGTTGTATAAATTGATAAAAATGGTTGAAACCCGCATATATAAGCTCAACCGCCGAATCGAGGCCGATGTCCAGCAACCAGTGCTAAATAAAAACAATTCAGACCAAATCAACTCTTTGATAAAAGAATATGAGGAATGCATTGCAATGGCTGAAAAAGCTGCAGAGAGCGGCGACATAACTGCCGCAGCGCAATACAACAACAGAGCAGTGGTCGTAAATGTTGAAATTGAGAAAATCAGCACCCAAAGCAATGGACTGCAGATGCAAAAAGAAAACGAACTTCGAATTTGCGACATTTGCGGGGCCATGCAAAGTGTTGGAGACACTATGGCACGCTTCGAAAGCCACGTCATGGGCAAGCAACATATTGGCTTCGAACGGATACGCGCTTGTATCGCCAGACTTAAAGAAAAACATGCAGCGAAAGAAAAACGTTTCCCTCACAAGAAGTATGGGGGTGACAAGTTTGACAAGTCCAGTACTGATTCCTCTTTCTACACATCAGCCCAAACAAGCAGAAACTACCAGGCAGAAAAAAAAAATCCGCGAGGCTACCTCAACATTGGTTTTACTGACAGCGAAGAATTCGAAGAAGGCCAGTGTTGACTCGGTTTTTACTTGTTTAGCGTTTCAAACTTCCAGGGTATACAGTACTGTCCGTATTTTGTAAAACTGAGTCTGAGTGACGTGATCAGGGCAAATATTGCTAACGCTTCGGTGAAAACTAAGAGCAATATCATGATTGTAAACATTTTGTCTGTTTTTCTGAAAGCTCGAATCCCACTGTTGCCAATTTGTCCTAAGGCGTAACCAGCGGCTAAACAGCCTATTCCACAGATGATTCCAGCCGCAAAGTCTGAGTACCCGTTGATTGTGCCGTAAGCATTAGGTGTTTTCACTAAAAACATTTTACTGCATCGTTACTTACGGTTTTGCGCAATCATAACGCTGAACATCAGCCCATAAACGCTGAGAATACCTGCCATGACGATTGGTATCAACGCCTTAACAGCAATTCCAGGTTTTTTAGCTGTTGATAAGCAATAGGCCGTTCCGGCTTTGACTGACGCATACGCAGCACCAATATCTGCAAAGTATGCATGACCTAAACTTACTGCTCAAAGTGCAAGCTGTAGTTATTCCTGCGTATCCGAGAAAAATGGAATAGGGATTGCAGTTTGGCTGTGTAATCTCGGTAAATTCACTTATCATGAGTTTCTATGGTAATCAATTTGAAACAGATACGCAGCAAACGGAAATCTCAATAGAAAGCACCAAATTAAAATATTACAATTTCGAATAAATAGATTATTCAATATTCATGAGAATTTTATTAAAATAGATTCAATAAATTAGCGATTAACCTATTGTTTCTTCATTTGAACGAAAAATTGGCTTTAGCTACAAATTATGCATAAGGGATACAAACGTTCGGAATTTTACTAGTTGTGATTACCATAGCTAAAATAAGTCCGAACAGTGCCAAAGCTTCTGCGAAGATCAGAATTAGAATCATAATTACAAATAGTCTAGGCTGGTGGGCAAAAGATCTGACTCCTGCGTCACCTACTACTCCAATTGCCAGTCCAGCTGCCAAACAAGACAATCCTACCAGTAAACCACTGGCTAAATGGGAATAGGCCTTAGCTTGCGAATATGTCGCTGGGTTGCCAATGCTACTATGCATCATAAAACCTACAATCAGTCCGTAAATGGAAAGGACGGAAGCCATAATACAGGGAATGATTCCCTGTAGAGCCAAATCTGGCCGCATGACACCCATACTACATATACCTATAGTCGCTTTTGCCATTCCGTAGGCCGCTCCCAAATCTAAATTACTATAATACGTTCTAGTACTTACTGCTGAATGTAGATGCAGCCGTGATTCCCATGTAGCCAAAGAAGGCTGAATGTGGATCACAGTGATTTATAATTTTTGACATTTTTAATAGTGGTTATTTTCGATCTCTAGTAATATTCAACACAATTTACATTAATAAATTTTTGACTTATTATTGATAAGTTAATATTTAGCCAACTTTGCAGTAAATAAATGTGCTTGTCGATAATGTCAAAATAATGATTATTTAATCTCGTCACTTGTCAAGGTTTCTGTGTGTTTTTGACTCTGTGTGTAAACTAATATAATGTATAAATATCTAAATTGGGAAAATTATTACGATCAAATTTTATATTTAGACTATAATGCCTGAAGTGCAAAGAGAAGAAGATATAAATGCTAACGAAGAAGCTCCCAATATTTCTCCGTTAGCATTAGTACCTCGAAGAGGTTTCGGTACAGATTTACAGGAACTTTTTAATCGATTAAAAAAAAATCCCTTTGGAGTAATGCTAGATCGGTGGGGAACAGAAATACCTCATGAAATACAATCGAACTGGATTGATGGAGCCGGCAAAATTGCTGAGTCTATTACATTCAGAGAATGTATGCTCAGAACGAGAAAAGTAAGTTATATTGGCTTATGAATTTTAGATTATTGTATATTTACATCAAAACAACGTGCAAAAAGAAGATAGAGTTATCTTATGTTTTATTCCAAGTTTAGATTTTATTAGTGCATTTTTTGCCTGTATTATTGCAGGTATCGTCGCAATCCCGGTGTATCCTCCGACTCCGGCGCGTGTCGATTTCGAAGTACCACGATTTTGTGATATTGTTGAACAAACGAAGGTTAAAATTGCCTTGACGCATACTATATATTTAAAGCTTTCTAAAATCGTGAGTCTAGCTACTCGAGACAAACGGTGGAACAAAACTAAATGGTTAGATGTGAAAAAAGCTTATAAAGTTATTTCTACAGAAGAAGCACTCGCAGTGAAGTTTCCTGAACTGCATCTAAACAGTATTTGTTTTTTACAGTTTACCAGTGGTAGTACGTCTAAACCAAAAGGAGTAGTAGTCACACACGGTTCTCTATTACATAACGTACATGTTGCTATGGTAGCATTCAACATGAACACCATGTACGAACGGCCTGGAGAAAAAGTCTTGTCTATTACAGATTTTAATTTTTTATTAGAACAAGAACAATTTTGGTATCTCCGTCATAAAGTATCCTTCGAAACTTTTGGCCATAGATTACGTGTTTTTAGTTGGCTTCCCGTGTATCACGATATGGGATTAATTGGGTTTACGTGTACACCGCTGTTTTTTGCTGGTACATTGTTTCAAATGTCACCTTTAGATTTTATTCGTAAGCCTTATTTGTGGTTAAAAACTATGTCAGACCACAATTGTGTTTACACCGGAGCCCCAAATTTTGCGTACGAAATTACTGTTAACAAAATGCCAGATGACATCTACGAAACATTGCGACTAGATAAAATGAGTGGTTTTCTTTGTGGAGCAGAACCTATTCGAGCATCAACTTTACTAAAGTTTGCTGAGAAATTTGGTCCTAAAGGTTTTAGATTTGGGATGTATAAACCTTGTTACGGTTTAGCAGAAAATACATTGATAGTTTCTGGGGTTGTTGAAGTGGGTCAAGCTCCATTAGTTATATGTGTAGATTCAGAAGCTCTCATGCTTCAAAAAAAAATTAAGGTTTTAAGGTCTGGTCGTTTTAAGGAAGGAGACTTAGAATATAATAAAGCTTTAGCTGGAAATCAAGGAGAAACCATTTTGGTCGGATGTGGAGGAACATGTATTGATATGCAGGTTCAAATAGTTGATCCAGTGATTATGCAACAGTGTGAATCAGATCAAGTTGGAGAAATTTGGATATCCGCAGATTCTAATGCACGTGGTTATTTTGGTTTACCAGACAAAACTTCAGAAGATTTTTATGCTACAATGAGTATGTTGGATGGCCACGTTAACCTGGCTAAATTTTTACGAAGCGGTGACTATGGATTTATATACAACAAGGAACTATTTATTTGCGGTCGTATCAAAGATATTATTATTATTAGAGGAAGAAATTACTACCCACAAGATATAGAAGAATGTTTGGAAAAATTAAAAATGCTGCGACCTGGTAATATTGCTGTATTTATGATACATAATGATGAAGGTCAAGAAGAAATCGCCGTAGCAGCTGAGTTAAGACCAGTTCAAACAGGAATAATAAAAAATTTATGGGCTAAAATTACCAATAGTTCTGACTTACTAAATCATTATACTGATACGGCAAATCTGATTTACTCTCAAGTATTGAAACAATTCGGTTTAAAAATATATAAATGCTGGTTGTTAAAAATGAAAACTATTCCTAAAACTAGTAGTGGAAAAATACGAAGGGCTCCAGCTAAAGAATTGTTAACATCACAACAAAAATGTAATGAAGTTTTGTTTGAAAAAACATTCGGCGCAGATTTTAAATTAGACTCTAGTTACATGTCTAGAAATAAAGATTTGATACAATCAAACGAGGAAGACGTTTTTGAAGACGCTTTATCGAATCATGATAATATCAAAACAGAAAATTCATATAAGCTGGTCGACTCAATAGCTAATAATAAAGCTAGTGAAGAATGTGATACCGATTATAAAAAAACGAAATCTACTAGAGAAGCAGTGAAAGAACAAGTAAGTTCGGTTATTCGCCAAGCTTGTATCGAAATTGCAAATTTAGAAGACATACCAAATACAGATATTAAATTATTCGAAATGGGTGTTGAAAGTGTAACACTTGTAGAATTTTCAGAGTATATTGCTAATAATTTAGGAATAGAAGTTGATAATACATTACTGTTTAACTATCCTACGTTAGATGCAGTTATAGAACATTTAACTGATATAAAGATCGGAATTAAAAATCAAATATCGACATCGTTATCATTAACAAATAAAAATTCTGCCACTAAGAACGACCTATGCATAACAGCTATTCAACTTCGATTACCAGGAGGAATCGATACTGTAGACAAATTTTGGAATGGTTTATTGAGCGGTGGCGATTTTATTCAGAACATACCGTACAGTCGGTGGGATAATAATTTATGGTATAGTCGAAACATGGATTCATTAAATAAAACTTATGTTAACGAAGCTGGTTTTGTATATGATGCAGACTATTTTGCTGCAAAAGCATTTAACGTTAATCCACGAGAAGCACTTACCTTAGATCCTCAACAGAGAATGTTATTAGAATTAGTATACCATTCTTTTAACTCGACTAAATTGCGTATTAGTTCTTTTACTAATCAAAAAATCGGAATCTACATTGGATCTTGTTGTAGTGAATGGAGTTTAATACAACCTGACGAATTACCAGGTCCATACACTGCAACAGGCGTTAGTTCTTCTTTACTTAGTAATAGAATAAGTTATTTTTTTGGATTGTCTGGACCATCACTAACAGTCGATACAGCTTGTTCTAGTTCATTAGTAGCGTTGTATCTTGCGTGTAATGATATGATACAAAATAAAATAGATCATGCTGTCGTTGGCGGTGTGAATATGTTGCTAACTCCTTATCCTTTTATTTCGTTTTCTAAGGCGCGAATGCTCTCTCCAGATTGTAGATGTAAAGTATTTGACGACAGTGCAAACGGGTATGTCAGAGCTGAAGGTGGTTTAGTACTTCAATTAAAAACTTATTCAAAAGCTATGGCAGATAAAGATACGATTTGGGCTATGGTATCAGGCTCTGCTATAAATCATGGAGGTTCGAGTGCTGCAATTACTGCTCCAAATGGGCTGGCTCAGCAAAATGTAATACAGTCAGCAATCCAAAGTGGAAATATAAATATCAATGATATTTATTTTGTTGAAACACATGGAACTGGTACTGCTCTGGGAGATCCAATTGAGTTTAATGCCATAAAGAATGTTTTCAGCAATCGCGTTGGAGCTACTTCTCCATTATATTTAGGAGCGGTCAAGTCCAATATAGGTCATTTAGAAGGAGCAGCCGGGCTAGCCGGATTAGTTAAATCTATATTAGTGCTCAGATATAATAAAGTTCCTAAGAATTTACATTTCTCAGAATTAAATCATTTTGTTAATCAAGAAAAATGGAACTACCACATACCTAAAAGTACTGTTGATTTGAATTCTGCAGGCACGAGCAGCAGATTTGCAGGTGTAAGTTCGTTTGGTTTTGGTGGAGCTAACGCTCATGTTATAATTAAAGAATCACAAAATTCTTATTGGGCAAGATTGTATGATCAATTATATTCACAAATATCACTTTCAAATAATGAAGATATATTAATTAACTTCAATAACGATTATTGTGAAAAAAGCGATCAAGTATATAGATTCCAAAACAATGATTTTTTAAAACTGATTATTGATGAAGTTATCGAAGAATCTCATGAGCAAAATCCGATAATTACGCTCGACTGGTTACTTGATTCAGAGGAAAAATCTTTGTTTAAAAAAATTATCAATCAGTTTATTATAAATTTAGCTTTTTATCGGGCATATATAAAACAGGTATCAGTGATAGAAGATTTGAATGTTATTCTTTCGGCTGATTCGGTTTCATATATTTCTGCTTTTGTTGCAGCCGGTGCTCTATCTGTGCAAAATGCTATAAATCTCATTACTTTTTCATCTACTTTTTACGAATCCCAGTTACTTTTAATTTATACTGGTCATGTTTGTCATGTAGAAGAATTTAATAGAAGTAACAACCAAAACAAACTTGTAATCTCAAATCAACTATGTTGTTCAAAATATTATCTTAAAGGAAGTAGTGAAACTTATGATAAATTTAGAAATTATTTGGAAATTTCTAATTGTGAATGTAACGTAGTTAATACGAACAAGGAAGTATTAGTATTTAATAGCAATTTAGGTGAAAAAGATTTGGATTCATACATAAATCAAAATATTATTATATCTCATGGAAAGTCTAAGTTGATTGATGTAAGTTCCGGCATAATTAGTTGTGATAACAAAAGTTGCCAGAATTGCTCAATTTATTCCAAAAAATTTTTACTAAATGCTATTAAAAATCCAATAATCAATAATGTGATATTAAATTCGTTGAAATTTATTACAGGAGTTAAAGTATCATTTGATTTGTTAGGATGTGATGATAATTGTTATTTATTTGACAATTTAGCCTGCGACGGCAATAAATGTTTGGTGAATGTGGATGAGAACAATAAATGTATATATTTTAATAGCATCAAACTAAATGAATTATCACTGTCGAATTCTGGAGAACAGTTCTATTCTTTGATTGAATTGTCTTTAAGATTAGTTAAAGCTTCAAAATCACAGTTATTGTGTCCAGAGTACTACCCATGGGCTGATCCTATCCATCCCATCTTGAACTCAAAAGCTTTAATTTTTAATAATGAAATGGAAACTAAGTTTACTATTAATTTCGATGCTAGTATGATAAACCTCTTTGAATCTCATAAAATTAAAAAGGTAATAGTTTTACCTGGAACTGCATATGTTGACTTAATTTTTGCTTCCATATTAAAATCTAAACAAGAGAAAAATTTTTTCAGAAACAATTACTTGCTGATTAAAGAATTAAACTTAGACATACCTATTTTGCTTTCTAATGAAAATAGTAAAACATTAGAGTTATTAATAACGAAGAAAAATAAGTTCACTTTATCAAGTTATTCAAAACTGAATGAAGAAAATCAAGTATATGAAAACGCGTATGGATTATATGATACTAAAGAAAAAAATAATTTACATTATGAAAATTATACAGAGCGTGTTGATAGAAATATTGCTAATCTCTTTATTGAAGATTCATCGAAGTTAACTGATTGGATCGATGTCAAAAACATCTACGAAAAACTTAATATTGTTGGACTTAATTACGGTGATAACTACAAGACGCTTAAGCGGGCATTTAAAAACGAGAATCAAATTTATTGTGAGTTAGGGATCAGTAAAAAACATGTAAACTATGAAAATGAAAAAGGTTTTATTTCAAATCCTGCGTTGATTGATGGAGCTTTTCATAGTGTAAGCTTATTTAAAGCAAGTCAATCTAGTGAAAATACTATTTTTGTACCTTCAAAATTTGAAAATATCAAATTAACTTCGAGATTGAACTTGAAGAGGTGTTACGCATTAGTTGATTTGATTGAAATGAATGAAACTAAAATTTCAGTTAAAGTTTTATTATTTTCTGACGTTTTTGAAACTTGTATATGCTCTATAGACAAAGTTCAATTTAATAACTTCAAATTGGATAATATCCAATTAATTGATATTCCGAAGAGATTACTATGGAAAACTGTGAATCATCAAATTAATATTGATGATGATAAAGATTCTGAACCTCAAAATAATGAGTTAGTTACACACGATATCAATAAGACTAATGCTCTTTTCTTATATACGAATTCGTCTAAAATAATTGTTTTAACTAACGATATCAAAACAGCAAAACTTGAGACTAGCTTAAAAAATCTTAATATTAGCCTCTTCAAGTATATATTTTTGGAATTGAATATTGATACCATAGATAATTACGAGCACTTATTGCTAGATTTAATAAATTTCTTCAAACTATATTTGACTCAAAAAACGCAAAATCCAACGATAAATACTATTATTGGGTTAATAAATCTGACGACAGACGAGAATTTACTGTTAGGATTTGAAGGATTCGTTAGATCATTAAGATTAGAACTTGATTTTAACTTGAAAACAGCTCAACCCGTTTTTTATGTTCAAATTCACGGTATTGACATTGTTCAAAAAGACCTAATAATTGAGTTTAAAAAATTAATTAATTATATAGAAGCTTCAAAATGGTCTGATTACAATTTAAAGTATATTTATTCTAACGCAGAACAAACTAAACCTTCCACACGTATATTTGTTAATAGACTTGAGCCATTAAATGTTGATGTAAGAGGATATGAGAAATTTTCTATAAAACAAAAAGGCTCTATAAATAACATTAAATTAACACAATCTCCACGAATCGATTTTACTAACGTTTTACCTGAACAAATTGTTGTACGAGTAAAAGCTGTTGGGCTAAACTTTAGAGATGTATTGAATGTGTTAGATTTGTATCCCGGTGATCCGGGTCCAGTTGGTTCCGATTATGCAGGAATTGTTATATATGCTGGAAAAAAAGTAAATAATATTTCTGTTGGGGATACTGTACTTGGTATTCATCCAGGCTGCATTGATTCTTTTATTTGTGCAGAACCAAACTTATGTCAGGTTTATGCTTCTAATTTATTAAGCTATAATCTCGCAGCTAGTTTACCTGTTATATTAACGACTGTGTTCGAAACTTTACATAATATTGCAAAAATTAAACCCAATCAAAATGTTTTGATACATGCTGTAACCGGTGGAGTTGGATGTATTGCTATTGATTACTGTAAATATATTGGAGCTAATGTTTATGGCACCTGCGGCTCGGACGAGAAGAAAAATTATGCTATTAAAGTTGGAGTTAAAGCAGTATTTTCTAGTAGAGATGCAAACAAATTCAAAGAAGAAATGAATGAATACGATACAAACTTAACTTTCGACTGTGTAATTAATTGTTTGACACAAGATTTTATACCGTTTACGTTAGATAGAATGAAACCAAATGGTCATTTTATTGAATTAGGAAAGCGAGATATTTGGCCTGTTTCAAAAGTAAATTCAAATTATCCCAATGTTAAGTATTCAATATTAGCGATAGACGAAGTTATTCGTCACACACCCTTAACCTTTAAAAAGTTGTTAGGAGATTCATTATATTGGTATAAAACTTGCAGAAAAGAAAATTCTTTCCAGTTATCTATTACTCCATTTATTATAAATTCAAGTAATCAACTACAAGAAGCTTTTAGATATTTACAAAAAGCAAAACATATTGGTAAGGTTGTTTTACAGATGCCAAATGTATTATCTACAAATATTAATGACGTATATATCATTACAGGTGGTAAAGGTACAATTGCATTGGAAGTATTAAAGTTTTTACTAAATGAGGGTTGTTCAAATATTTATTTACTTTGTAGAACTACCAAAATTAATGAATCAAGTTTTGAAGATTTAAAAAGAAATTATGAAGGTTCATATATTACGCTTAAAGAAATTATATGTGACGTTACTGATGAAAATCATGTACTTAATTGTTTATCAATATTAAAACGTAAAGGACTTAAACTAAAAGGTATCTTTCATTTGGCAGGTAAGAATATTGATTCTACTTTGACAAATATTAAGGATATTGAAACTATTTCAGCGATTACACAACCAAAGATCAAAGGATTGATTAACTTTCATAATTCCCTAATAAAACTTAGTTTATATAATGATCTAGACTTTTTCATTAACTTTAGTTCTATAAGTGCTATATTTGGAAATGTCGGTCAAATTTGTTACTCAGCCGCTAATTCATATTTAGATGAGTTTTCTGAAAAAATGCCACAAAAATTCATGTCGATTCAATGGGGTCCTTGGAATAACGCTGGAATGGCTAAAACTCATCTTAATAGAATGAAAAATTTTGGTATAACTGGTATTTCTAATGAAGTAGGTATCAAAATATTATACGAATGCTTGAAAAATAAAAACGAATATAGAAACATTACAGCTGTTCATCTTGACATTAACAAATTTGTTAGCAGCCATATTACAATAATGTCAGCTGAATTGAATAATTTGTTAGAGGTTGGTTCGAAAGATAAACGAAACCGAGCTGTAAATAAACAATTCGAAAATTTATCAGAGGAGGAGTTAACAAAATATATAACAAATAAAGTTCTTAATGCTGCTGAATCTCTAACTGGCAATAAAGAAACACCGAAGTTAACTGATACGATTAGCACACTTGGAATTGATTCAATAGCAGCTGTTGAATTCCGTAATTTGTTATCTAGTGAATTAGATGTAAAAATATCTGTAACTGCGCTTATTGACTACCCTACTTTAGGGGATGTTACAAACCATATTATCGATTTAGTGAAGCTAAACAATGTCAACGAGACAAACGAAATATCTAGACCTCTATTTGAAATAATAGGAGATGAAGTCAGCAAAAATTTAGCAAATGGCGTCGCAATAATTGGAATGAGCTGTAGATTACCAAGAGGCGATAATCCGGAGCGATTTTGGAACACTTTACTTGATGCAACTGATTGCATAATAGATGTTCCAATTTCTAGATGGAGTGCTGATAAATTTTATAATCCAGATCCAGACGCGCCTGGAGTTACAACATATACTAGAAGAGGAGGATTTGTTGAAAACGTACATTTGTTTGATCCACACTATTTTGGTATTGGACTGGTTGAAGCTAAATCTATGGATCCCCAACAAAGAATATTATTGACTTGTTCAGCAGAAACCTTTGCAGATGCGGGATATACTAAAAATGAAATAGCAAACAGCGATTTAGGTTGTTTTATTGGTTGTTGTAATGCTGATTGGGTAACTTTACACACTATAGCTGCTATCAATGTGTTTAGTGGTACATCTGGAGCGGCTTCCATTTTATCAAATAGAATCAATTATTTGTTTAAATCTAGAGGGCCATCAGCAACAATCGACACAGCTTGTAGCAGTACTTTAGTGGCGTTAGATATAGCTTTTAATAAATTGATATTGAACCAGGTAAATTGGTGTATTTTAGGAGGTGTTAACATTATGCTTTCGCCTAATTTATTTGTTGCATTCTCTAAAGCTAGAATGTTATCTAAAGATTGTTATTGTAAGACATTTGACGAATCAGCAAATGGATACGCTAGAGGTGAAGGTTGTGCTACTTTTTTATTGAAAAATTTACATAAAGCTCTAAAGGATAACGATAAAATACATGCTGTCATTAAAGGATCATTCAGTAACCATGTCGGCCAATCTGCTTCTTTAACTGCACCAAATGGTCCCGCGCAAGCTGAATGTTTCAAGAAGGCACTTAAAATAGCCAATATTATGCCAAATGATGTTTCATATATAGAAACCCATGGAACTGGTACACCTCTAGGTGATCCAATTGAGATAGGTGCTATCAAAACTGTCTATGGTGGCGATAGAGCTTTCCCGTTAATTTTAGGGGCTGGCAAAACCAATATTGGTCATTTAGAAGGCGCTTCCGGAGCTGCTGCGCTTGTAAAAGTTATTTTATGTCTAAAATACAAAAAAGTGCCAATGAATTTGCATTTTAAAAAGTTAAATCCATATATCGATATGAAAGGATTGAATGCGATATTCCCAACTTCTGTGAATGATCTTAATTTAGCTAATAATGAAAAGCTATATAGTGCTTTAAGTAGCTTTGGTTTTGGTGGATCCAATGCTCACGTTATCATGGAAGCATATAACCAAGAAAAGATAGAAAATAAAATTGAAGAAACATATGCAAAGCCGAAAGTATGCTTTTTGTTTACTGGTCAAGGAAGTCAGCAAGTCAACATGGCTTTAGATTTATATTCAAGAAATGAAATATTTAGAAAGGAATTTAATCAAATAGCCGAAGCTTTCATAGAGCTAGATATTGTTGATATACGAGAGTATATTTATCCAACTTTATTTCCGAAACTCAGGATTAGGTTAGAAAAAGAATATAAGGGTGAAGACGTACTTGATAAAATCAATACTTTATTATATGCTACTGATGTTGCTCAACCAGCTATATTTGCCTTTGAATTGGCATTGGTTAAGTATTGGAAGCATTTAAATATTATTCCTGATTATGTTATAGGACATTCTCTTGGTGAATATGTAGCAGCTGTTTTATTAAATATCATGTCTCAAGAAGATGCTATTAAATTAGTAGCAATACGCGCTAAGCTGATGCAAAAATTACCTTTAAATGAAGGAGTAATGTATGCATTTAAATGTTCTGAAGCTATTTTCAATGATATGCTTGAAAAAATCACAGATTCTAGTTTAGATAGATCGACTTTTTCAATTGCTGCAATTAATGCTCGATCATCTATTGTAGTTAGTGGAGAAAAAAACAACGTTGAAAAACTTTTAGAATTTTTCCCCAACATAAGCAAGAAAAAGCTAAATGTATCGCATGCATTTCACAGTCCTATGATGAATCCTATAATAGACGAATTTTATCAACTTTCCAATACAATTCATTTTTTGAAACCTAATTCTGAATCTAAGTTTATTTCAACTGTCACATGTTCAGTTGAAACTGATATAGTAGCTGGTGCTGATTATTGGAGAGATCATATATCTAAGCCCGTTAGATTTTATGATTCCGTTAAACAACTAATTGAAACTTACGACGTTAATTATATTATTGAAATAGGACCAAAACCAATTCTTATCAATTTAGTTAGACAGCAATTAATGCAAAGAACAAGGGCTGCTTCAGATAATAAAGAAATTTTAATGCATACATTAGACAGTATTGATGGTGAACCTGTTTTTTGGAATGTATGTAGATCAATAAATCAAACTAGTTGCGATTATGGAAATGGATTAGTATTATGGAATATGAAGAAAATCCATTGGCTCGATAACTTTCATCCATTCATTACAAATATCCAATTTAATAATGAAAATGGAATTTACAGTTCTAGTTGTTATATTCGTGATGAATTAAAAAGATATCTTAAGCATCACGTCATTTTTAACATGATAATTATTCCTGGTGTATTAATTTTGGAATCAATGGTTACATTTTGTGAAATGATTAAAAAGTCCAATAAGATCGATAAAGTGATCCCAGTAATTGACAATTTGGTTTTACATAAACCATTCGTGATTACTGAAGAACAACCAACATCGTATATTTTGAAATTAGATGTTAATAATAATATTACTTTATATTCATCGAACAGTTTTATCGAAGATGATTTGGAAGATCATGTTACAGCTCGTTTAATGGTTTGTGTTGATGAATCATATTTATCTAAACTTGCTGAATATCCTGATTGGGCATTTGATAAAAATAAAGGAAAATTCTTTGATCAAACCTCGTTACTTTATGATAATATGGCTAAATTAGGACTCGAATATGGCCCGAAATTTAGAACATTACAATCTGCAACCGTTTATCAAAATGAAGCAGTTGGTGAGCTGAAACTTGCATTGATAGATGAATTATGGGACACACAGTTTAAGGTTCATCCATCAATACTAGATGGAGCATTACATCTAGTTAGTTTAGTTATAGTTGCTAATACATCAGATACTGCTTTAAAGTCTATTCAAGCAATGGTACCTTATAAAATATCGAAAAGCTTCCTTGGAAACGTAGATATCACTTGTTTAGTTCATTGCCATATAAGAATACTTGAAATTTCTAAAGAATGTGTAATAGTAAATGTTTCTATTATACAACAAGGAAAATGTGTTACGTATCTAGACAGACTAACATTGAAACAGCTGAACATTGAACAAAAAGTAGATATTCCTAGAGAACTATTATGGTGCTCTAGATGGGAACTTAAGAATGATTTATTAAAAGCGGTAAATCCAGGGCAAATATACAAAGTAATTGTATATTCACCTATTAAATATTCGACTATACTAGATGTTATTTTTGATAATATAAAAAATAAGACCAATTACAAAGAGTTATACGGAAATATAATAATCGAAATCACTAATTCGCTAGAAGATTTGACTAAATTTGATGATTTTAATAATACTACAGAGAACCAAATTATTTTATACTGTGATAGCCTATTCCAAGAAATTAGTCCAATAGAAATACTTGCGGATTGTTTAGATTTAACAAAATGGTCGATAAAACATTCTCAAGACGCTAAAACCCATAATAAAGCTAGATGTGCTCCAATATATATTTTTACAAATTCGTGTCAAGCATTATACCCAGATTTATCTGATATCATAAATCCACCTTATCATGCCGGCGTTATAGGTTTTTTTAGAAGTGTTAGAGCAGAGTCTGTTATGTATGGTAATAGACATCAGATAACAAATATAGATATCAATTCACTACAAGATATTATGCCTATAATTGCAAATCTAGTAAATATAAGAACGGACGAAACTGAAATTGTATTCAGAAAAATTACTAAAGAAACTAAAGAACTCGTTAAAAATATTATTGATAAACCAGTGATTCATGAGGGTATTCAATTAGAAAATTATCTAGAGTATGATAGCAAAAATAGTATAGATAAGTTAGAAATTAATGGACAAAGTAACTCGATTGATTTGACTGAAAATAATGAATTACCAGAAAATACTATATTTTTGTTTGGTAGAAGAATTGCAAAAATAAAGAAACGAGTTATAGGTTATGCTGAGTTATACATGAAGTCAAGAGGATCAATTAGTAACCTTGTCATAAGAGCTCAGTCAACAAAATTAGTTTTACCTCCAAATCACGTTAAAATACGTGTATTCTCTATAGGTTTAAATTTCAGAGATATTCTTAATGTCATGGATTTATACCCTGGAGATCCCGGACCATTAGGAGGAGACTGTTCTGGTATTGTTATTTCCGTTGCTGAAGGTATAACTGAATTCAAGGTTGGTGACAAAGTTTTTGGTATTGCTCCTGGTTGTTTAAAACATTATGCAATTACCGATCGTAATTTATTATGTCATATCCCTAACAATGTTTCATTCGAGTTGGCAAGTACACTTCCTGTTGCAGCTGGTACAGTCGAATACGCTTTAGTTGATGTTGCAAAAATTAAACCGGGACAAACTGTTTTAATTCATGCAGTTACAGGAGCAGTTGGACTTTACGCGTTTCAGTTGTGTAAACTTTATGATTGTAAAGTTATTGGTACTTGTAGCGATGAAAAAAAGATTTATGCTAAAAATATCGGAGTCGATTTTGTCTCTTGTTCCAGAAATAGTAGCTTATTCCAAACAGAAGTGAAAAAATACTTGCAAGGAAATAAAATTGACGTTATATTAAACTGTTTAATAGGAGATTTCATTGATATATCAGTTTCCTTACTATCCAAAACAGGAGTTTTTCTCGAATTAGGTAAAAGAGCAATATGGTCTGATGAACAAATGAAACAATACGCTCCAGGAGTAAAGTATCACAAAATTGCTGTTGATGTTAAAATGAATCAAGATAGAAAATGGTTTCAATCAATTCTATGTAGATTAAAAGATCGATTTGAAAAAGGAAAACTAAAACCGATTGCTATGCATTTATTTAATTTAACAGATAAACAAAATAACGCAATAAAAGCTTTTAGACTAATGCAAAGGGCAGGTCATATTGGTAAAGTCGTAATTAGGATTCCTTCTTCATTGGAAAAACTATCTGATGAAACAAAAAATCTTATATCGACCCCTGAAAAACCTTTGTTTAATTGGTCTCCCAATCAAACAGAACTAGGTTTTTTAAATACTGTGCTAATTACAGGCGGTACTGGTGCTCTTGGATTGTTATTAGCTAATGAACTGATTTGTCTAGGCGTCAAACGAATAATACTAATTTCCAGAAGCGGTTATACGAAAGAATTAGAAACTAATCCAAGAGTTATACAATTACTGAAAAGTTCATGTGAAATTGAGTTTATGGCTTTAAATTTAAGTTCATATAACAATGTTTATTCTTATCTCAAAACATTAAAAAACAAGAATTATTCAATTGATGCAATATTCCACTTGGCTGGTGTGTTGCAAGATTTGGTTATTGATAAACAAAGTAAAAAAAGTATATCTGTAGTGTACGAAAACAAAGCTGGAACAGCATGGAATTTGCACAATGCTTGTAATAATCTTTCCATTTCGCTGCAGCATTTTGTTATGTTCTCATCAATAAGCAGCTTTTTAGGAAATTATAAACAAACAAATTATTCAGCAGCAAATGCAGAGATTGATGCTTTGGTTCAGCATAGAAACGCTTTGAAACTACCAGGACTCTCTATTCAATGGGGTGCTTGGATTGAACAAGGAATGGCTCTGGGCATGGATAAGATTCTAGAAACGTCAGGTTTGCCTGGCTTGACCAACGATGTGGGATTAAGAGCAATGTTAGAAGTTTTAAGTGATGCTTCTATATCTACAATATGTGTTCAAAATTTCCGATGGATGCAATATCTCCAACAGTATGATGCTCCACCTCCACAATTTACTGATGTATTTGAAAATTCTGGGAATACACAAGAAATGGATCCAAATATTACTAATCTTTCGGGTGAGGCAAGAAAACAATATGTTTTAAAAACAATAATTGAAACTGCCTCATCAGTGCTAGGTCAGACAGATTTACCTCCGTTAGATGCTCCACTTCAAGAACTAGGAATAGATTCTTTAGGGGCGGTTGAACTAAGGAATTCTTTACAATCTAAGCTTGGAGTAAGATTAGCAGCCACTGCTATGTTCGACTACCCGACTTTAGCATCTTTAGGAGATCATATTAATGCACTAGTAGAAGAAAGATTAGCTCATGGTATAACTAATGCTGCAAATAAAGAATACTGGTATATGCCACCAAAACTAACAAGTCATCAATCAGATGGGGTAGCAATAACTGGTATAAGTGTACATTTCCCAGGTAACGCGCATTCTTTAGAGGAGTTTTGGAATTTACTAAATAAAGGGTTTTCAGGCGTTACTGATATACCAGTTGAAAGATTCAATATAGATCAATATTATGATCCTACACTATCAAAGTTCGATTCAATGTCAATTCGTCAAAGTTCTTTTGTATCTCACAGTACTTTATTCGATCCCTCATTTTTCCATATTACAAGTGCTGAATTGAAGAGTATGGATCCTCAGCAAAGATTGATGCTACTTCAAGCTTATTTATGTACTACTACTTGTGGATATTCAAAAGAAAATTTACAAAATCAGAATATTGGATGTTTTATTGGTTGTTGTAACTTTGATTGGCATTATTTGGATCAATTCTCTGATTCGCCTTATGCTGGAGTAGGAGGTAGCGCAGCAATTGTCTCTAACAGAATAAGTTATGCTCTTGGTCTTAAAGGCCCTTCATTGACGGTCGATACGGCTTGTAGTAGTTCTTTGGTGGCAATAGATATTGCAATAAACAAGATTTTACAAAACGCCTGCGATAAGGCCATTGTTGGAGGAGTTAATTTATTATTAACGCCGCATTTGTTTTCAACTTTTAGTAGAGCTCGAATGCTTGCTCCAGATTCAAGATGTAAAACATTCGATGCGCGTGCAGACGGTTATGTAAGAGGAGAAGGTTGTGCGGCCATATATATTGAAAAATCAGCAGACGCATATGCTTCAAATAAATATATTTATGCAATTTTACGTGGTTCGGCTGTAAATCATGATGGTACAAGTGCTTCATTGACAGCTCCAAATGGACCGGCACAACAAAGCGTTATTAAGTCAGCATTAATTGCGTCTAATCTATGCCCGGCAAAAATATCCTACATCGAGGCTCATGGTACAGGAACTGCACTTGGAGATCCTATTGAGTTAGGAGCTATAAAAGCTATTTTCGAATTGCGAGAAGAAAATCCAAACCCATTAATTATAGGAGCCTTAAAAACTAATATTGGCCATTTAGAAGGAGCTGCTGGGGTAGCTTCTTTAGTAAAGGTGGTTCTTTGCTTGCAGAAAAAAAAAGTACCACGTAATTTATATTTTGAAAATATTAACCCACATATAGATTTGCGAGGTGTAAATTTTGTATTTCCAAAGAAAACTGTTGATATCGTATCGAATAATACCGTAATTTACGCCGGTTTAAGTTCGTTTGGATTTGGCGGGGCTAATGCTCATTTAGTAGTCGAATCTGTTCCTCATCAGCTACAAGAAGCAACTAAAATGAAAAGCCCTAACTTTAAAAATTTAGATTTACGATCATATCCATTTCATGAACAGCTTCACCCATTATTAGGACATTACACTAAACAAAATGGAGACATCCAGAATATTTGGTCATTCTCTAATCGATACTTTGATAAAATATTTTCTGATCATTGTATATTTAACGTACCAGTTGTGGCTGGAGTTATGTTATTGGAATCAATTGCAGCGGCTTATACTGCAGAACAACCGTATGGAAGAACTAGTTGGACCGTAATGTCTGATAAGCCAGTGTTCTTTTCAAAGTTTGTTTTAATTCGCCCTTTATTAGTTCCGGCTAAACGAGACGCGAGAAACTATTTGAAAGTGAAATATCACATTAATAAAAATGGTGAATTTTCCGTAGTTTCTGAAGTAGATAATAAAGGAAATACGTTTTTTGAATTTGCAGAAGGATTGATTGTAAATGAAAACTCCAATGAGAGAAACGAAATCATTGAGAACTGTAGTAACTTATTTGAAGAAAGTAAAATATGTGATAAAGAATTACAACCAAATAAGTTATACGATGAGCTAGAAAAAGTTGGATATAACTATGGACCAACATTCCAAACCATTGATAATATAAAACTTGGTCGTGGCATAGCTGTTGTTCAATTATCTCAGAAATATAAGAATCCAATTTGTCCGGACGGTGAAGAAATTGGGTACAGAATTTCTCCACAGATGTTGGATGGGGCTTTTCATGTTGTTGGCGCAATTCTCGAACTTGAAAATCAATTGAATAATTCAGAGGTAAAGAACAAACATTTTGAAGATAAAAAAATACTTGTTCCGTTTTTATTCCAAGATGTATGGATTCATCCAGTAGCACAAAAAACTAAGTTAGAAGCCGTGATTAAATTAAAGAATTTCAACGAAAATTCCGTATCCGTTCAAATAGCATTTAGAATATTAGAAACAGAACCAATGAATAATATTTTTGATCTATTTGCTCATTGTAATGAGAAGAACAAAGTTGTAGGTTTTATTAAAGATTTGCAACTAAGATTAATTGATTTTAATGTTTCATTAGAAATACCAAACCAAATACTATGGAAAGTACAAACTAGAAATAAATTATTAAACACTATCTCAGTTATAAGTGATTTCCCTGAACCTCTTGTTTCTATTGGAACTTCTGAAGCGTCAACACTAACTTTAGAAGAAGCTCTTGAAGTTAACTATGAAACTTTGAATACTAAAAACGGTGAATTTTTAGTTTTAGGTGCGCCAAAATTATGGAGAAGATCGTACGAAGGAAATGAATTATGTTTTTGGTCAGTAAATCAGTTTGGTGAAGATATGAAAAATTTCGAACCTGAATGTGTAAAATTTTCTTCGTTAATTTACATTGGTGGACTTAATCATGTTATATCAGATGTTGATGTACTTACGGAAATAGCGTCTATTTTTAATATTTTGCAGGATTCGCATAAGGATAATTTGAAGATTCCACCTTTACATATATTTACTTATAGACAATCAATGGAAACATGCGACCCAAACGATAAAAATCCCATTTTAATGCATAGTGGAATTGAAGCGTTTGTCAAATCGATTATGTTGGAAATAGAAAGTAGTTCAGCGATAATCATTGATGCAATTGTATGTGACATTTCTATAAAAACATTCTCGGAAATTATTAGAGCATCGAGAATATTACTAGAAAACAAAGATCTAGATTCCAGTTGTATAATAAATAACGACGAAATCTTTTGCAAACGATTAGTTCCTATCGAAGCAAAGCCATCTGGAATGTTAGAAGTATTAATGAAAGAAAGAGGAGAAATCTCCAATTTGAAATTATCACCATATTCTAGTATTATGCGAGTTAATCCCGCAGCGAATTTAGTAGAAGTGAGAATTAGAGCTGTATCATTGAATTTCAGAGATGTATTAAATGTTCTTGATTTATATCCTGGTGATCCTGGCTCATTATGCTCAGATTTTGCTGGTGATATTATTCGTATTGGCTCAAATGTTAAAAATTTCAAGATCGGAGACAGCGTTTTCGGAATTGCTCCGGGCTGTTTGAAACCATTCTGTCTAACGGATAGTGCAATTATTAGTAAAATTCCCGATAATATTTCATATGAAGAAGCAGCTGCATTGCCTGTTATTGGTACAACGGTGCTTAAAGCGTTTTCAAAGCTTTATACAATTAAAAAAAATGATAAAGTATTAATTCATGCGATTACAGGTGGTGTAGGGTTGTTTGCTTTGAAATATTGTTTGTTAAAAGGCGCTATAGTTTATGGAACAGCTGGAAGCGAAGAAAAGAAAAAGTTTGCACTAGATTCAGGAGCTTATTATGTTACAACTTCAAGAGACGCAAAGAAGTTTTCTGAGGATATGAAATCTATTCTTGACAATGAAAAACTTGACTGCGTACTTAATTGTTTATTCGGAGATTACATTACTTATTCCCTTGAATTAGTTAAAAACGGTGGATCTTTCTTTGAAATTGGTAAAAGAGATATAATCACTCCTAACCAGATGTCTGAATTAAGAGCTGACTTAAACTACCAAATCATAGCAATTGATGACGATATTAAATTTAAAAGGAACTCATATACTAAATTACTAAATGAAGTAACTGAATTTATTTCGTCAAACAATATTATTCCTCCAATAGAACTTTATAACATAAATAGTAGTGTTAAAGGAGTTCATCAAGCATTTGACCAAATGAAAAATACAAAACATATAGGTAAAATTGTTATATCATTTCCAACCATTGTATCTAAAACTGGATTTACTGAAAAAGATTATAATTATCCAAATCATACGATCACAAGTTTAATTACTGGTGGTTACGGTTCTCTTGGTCTTCAGTTACTTAATTGGCTATTTGAACAAGGAGTGAGAAAATTCATTATAATATCTAGAACATGTGCTGTTAGTGAAGCAAATGAGGAAACAGATGTTTGGAACAGAATAAAACTACTTTCTCAATTGAATATAATTTCAATTAAAAATATTGTAGCTGACCTATCAAACAAAAACTTTCAGTTTGATAACGTAATCAAAATGATTTCTGAATATTATCACCCAACATTTGTCTTTCACGCTGCAGGTATCTTAATTGATAAAGCTTATAAAACATTAACTAAATCTGACATTGAACAAGTTTATTTTGCCAAGTACAAAACATGCGTCAATTTACATAAGATTCTTGATATGGCTCAAGTTTCAAATGACGTAAAACTGTTTGTTTGTTTCAGTTCAATTTCAGGTTTGCTAGGGAACTATGGTCAAGCTAACTATGCGGCAGCTAATGCAGCTCTCGATAAATTTGCCTATTGGAGAGAGCGTCGTTATAAAAATAAAACTATGTCAATACAATGGGGTCCATGGCGTGAGCAAGGTATGGCCTCAAAATTATCAATTGATACAGTTAGTATGGGTCTATACGGGTTAAGTAACGATCTTGGTTTTTCAGTGTTATACGATCTAATGATGAAAAAACTTAATTCTGCAGATGATGATATTGGTTCTGTTGTCTGTGTCCAACAATTTAAATGGAATGTATTTTTAGAAAGGTACATTAAAAAACCTTTTTTTTTCGATGAAATCTCAATTAATGAATCTGTGGAAGAATCAGAAATGGATGCTTTTATTAAAGAAAAATTGTCCGAAATGAGTAGGGAAGAACGATTAGAATACATTAAATCACTAGTTTTATCCACTGCTAGTAATGTATTGGACTATAATGATGTACCAGATCTGGATACTCCTTTACAAGAACTTGGCATTTCATCATTAGGAGCTGTTGAGTTCAGAAATGCTCTACAAAAAAAACTTGGTGTTAGATTGTCTATTTCTGCCATGTTTGATTATCCAACTTTAAGAAGTCTTCAAGGTTATTTAATTGAACAAGTTGAAGAAAAGATAGCAGGAACCCAAGCTCAAATAAAAGTTCAACTTCCAACATTTAATACAACTGATAAAAATAATGAAGTTGTTATTACATCACTAGCTTGCAGATTTCCCAATTATTGCAGAAATGGAACTGATTTCTGGAATATGCTTAGTAAAAATGTAAACTGTATTGTCGATATTCCCTATACTCGATGGAAGTCAGAAATATTATTATCAGGTGATAATACCGAAAAGGGAAAGTATTATGTTGATAAAGGAGCTTTTATGACGAGAATTGAAGAATTTGATAACAAATTCTTTAATATTAGTGAGACAGAAGTTTACTGTTTAGACCCGCAACAAAGAATACTATTAGAAGTTTCTTATGAGGCTTTAAAGAATGTTTCATTTGAAAAATCATCGTTGACGGGATCTTCTACTGGAGTATATATAGGATGCTGTAATAATGATTGGCATTTCTTGGACACGGCTAAAGCTGGAGATAATATCACATCATTTAGTTCTAGTGGTGGGGCTTCTTCTTTACTTTCAAACAGAATTTCTTATGCATTTGGATTAGGCGGCCCATCTTTCACTGTAGATACAGCTTGTTCAAGTTCTTTAGTTGCACTTGATAGTGCAAATCATTCAATTAAATCTGGAATTTGCGATTTAGCTATAGTAGGTGGTATTAATCTTATTCTTACCCCCCATTTATATATTTTGTTTTGCAAGAGTCGAATGTTATCACCAGATGGATATTGTTATACATTTGATTCTCGTGCTAATGGTTATGTTAGAGGAGAAGGATGTGGTGTAGTTTTATTATCTACCAGAGCTTACGCAAAGGAGAACAATCTGCCAGTATATGCAACTATTAAAGGCAGTGCCGTAAATCATAATGGTAAAAGTGTGAGTATAACAGCTCCTAATGGTAAAGCACAACAATCTGTTATTTTGACAGCTTTATCAATGTCCCAATATGCTGCTTCAGATATTGATTATATAGAAGCTCACGGTACTGGTACGAGTTTAGGAGACCCAATTGAATTTAACTCTCTTAAAGAAGTTTTCAAAGGTGATAGAAAATCACCTTTATACATTGGGGCTTTGAAAACAAATATTGGACATCTTGAAGGAGCAGCTGGAATCGCTGGACTAATAAAAGCAATATATGTTTTACAAAATAAATTGATCCCGAGAAATCTTAACTTCCAATCATTAAATACTTACATAGAAGAATTAGACGCTTTTGATTATGTTTTGCCTTCGAACGAGAATCTAAGATTACCAGACAAACAAAAACTCATCGCTGGAATAAGTTCATTTGGATTTGGTGGAACTAATGCTCATGTTATAATTGATGTAGATAAAAGTACGAAATTCATCTCAATATTACAAGGTGAATCTATGAGTAATCCTACTGAAAAAAATATAGTATTTATGTTTACTGGACAAGGTTCACAGAAATATTACATGGGAAAACAACTATATACTAATGGCTGCGAAGCGACTAAGAATATTTTCCAATACTCACAGACTTTATTAAAAGAGTTTGAAGAATATAAAGATCTAGATTTGTACGAAGTTATGTTTAACAAGTCAGAATTAATTAATAAAACGATGTATTCTCAAATACTAATTTTCATTTATGAGCTTGCATTGGTAACAGAACTTAAACATAGAGGAATAAACCCTACTATCGTTGTTGGTCATTCGTTAGGTGAATATTGTGCTTCCTGTGCAATTGGATTAATATCATTTGAAGATGCTTTCAAAATGGTAGCATTTCGAGCGATAACAATGTCTAAACTCAGTACTCAAAACGGAGCTATGTATGCAGTAAGAGCTACGGAAAATACTTTGTTACCATCGCTTAATAATTGTAAGACAGTTTCGATTGCAGCTTACAATGGTACCAAATCATTAGTATTATCTGGTGATGAAACGGAGATACTAGACATCATTAAAAAATTAAACTTACAAAGTCAAAGACTTAATGTTAGCAATGCCTTCCATTCGAAGCTAATGAATGATAATGTGCCCTTATTAAAAAATTTCATTACGATTAATACAAAGTTCAATGATAACATATCTTGCAAGTTTGTAAGTACCGTAACTGGTGAAGAAGTTAATTTGCAAACTATATCTCAACCATCTTATTGGGCTGAGCATATAATTAAGCCTGTAAAATTCATTCAGGCAATTAATTATATTTTAAATAATGAATACGACTGTGTGTTCATTGAAATTGGGCCTTCTGCAATGCTGTCTAATTTAGTTTTAACAAAATCTAAGGAGTTGGATCACGAAAATCAAGCTCTAAGTTCAGCTGATCAAGAAAACATTAAACCTCAAAATCAGCAGAAGATTTTTTCTCTGCAGAATAGAGAAGGTGATGATGATGAAATTAAAAATTTGAAAAAAATTAAAGCTGAGCTCAGATATGATATTGAAGTTAATTGGAATCATAAGTCCTATTATTGGTATGATTGTTCTCATCCTTTGGTTGGCTTAGTAAAATCAGGGATGAGCAAGAAATTCAATAATATAGTAAATCAGAAGACAGTTGATTACTTTAATGACCACGTTGTAAATAAGATGCCTTTAGTTCCTGGAGCAGCTATAATTGATGTTTTCGCGGTATTAAATATACGTCATTTGAACGAAAACTTTTATACTGATCCATTGCGACAGGATTCTTATTGGTCGAAAATTAATTCAATAATCCTGGAACAACCTATAGTATTACCTGGAAGCAAAAATGAACAATTAGACATACAAGTACAAATGTCTAATAACAATATTTTCAATATTTTTTCAACTACTTACGGCCATGATTTCGTTTTAAACGCCAGAGCTGCTGACTTTTCGCGAATCTCTAAAATAGAACTAAAGGATTATCTTCAAGAGAAGAAAAATCAATTTTCAAACTACATGGAGCTATATAATAATAAAGATAAAGTAACAGTGAATACTGACACTTTATACGAGTTTTTATCATCCATTCGATTAGAATATGGAACTAATTTCCGAACTATTAAATCATTAATTCATTGTGGGTATGAATCCATCGCTCAATTATCGTTTAATGCTGAAAATTTAATTAATGACTCAACAATATTTAACTTCAAATTATTACCAGGAATTGTTGATGGAGCATTCCAAGCTTTAGCGTCTTGTTTAGCTCGATCCGGATACAGAAATGCAATGGTACCAGTAAAATTTGAGAATATATTGTCCAATTCAATTTCACCATGTCTGTTGTATTACAGTTACTCTAAAATCATTGAAAAATCTAAAAAATCTGTTGTCGCTTATATTTCTATTTACGATAAAGATGGTAATTTGTGTCTAGAAATAGAAAGATTAACTTTACAAGCAATTCGAATTAACCATAATATTATTCCTATTGATATATTCTGGACAGAAAATTACCAAAAACTAACTAGTTTCAGTCAATCAGAAGGTATTTCTTTTACAGAAAACTTCACCGAAATAGAAAATAATAGTTCCAATATTCAACACACAGAAACAGATTTAGTTACAAATAACAATATGAGTTCAGCAATAAATCAAGATAATCTAAATGTATTAGTTCTTAGTTCAAACAATTCTGAAAACAACATTAACGTTAATGAAATAAATAAGTCATGGAAATGTAGTTTTAGATTAATACCCAAAAATGATATTGAAGCAGATATATTACTACGAGAAAAATCTTGGGATATCATTATGCTTCTAGATGGTTTGGATCAAATAGACAACTCTTTAGACTACTTAGAAAATTTGTTAACTGTTACTAAAGCATATAGCCGGCAAAATCAAAACAGTTCCAATAAATCAGCTCTACCTTATTTACTAATTTTGTTTACTAACAAAGACAATGAAAACTTACATCTTAGTCATGATAATACAGGAGCTCTTGGATTTATAAGATCTGCAAGAGTAGAGTTGGATAATATTATTAATTCTAAGCCAAAAATCAAATTTATAAACCTAGATCTATTTTCTACTTTGTGTTTAGAAGATCAATTGTCTAAAATATTGTTAAGAAACGATTTTGACATAGAAGATGATTTTATTTGGCAGTTTAACGACTTATTTACAATTAAATTAAATAAAAAGACGATTCCTTATCCTGCAGGCTATTACAATCTTGAATTGGACTTGAATGAAAATAAGCAATTAATCGTTAATCCAACTACATCTTATTTGCCGAATGAAATTCCATTTAGTGAAAATACTTATGTAATAAGATCCCTCGGTTTTGTCGCTGATGGTAAGGATGAAATAGTTTCCTTTATTGAGCATTCAAATGATGTTTCACACATTTCGACATTAGCGGTATTAGGTGTTATAGTCAAAGTAAATACACTAAATAATTCAGATTCTAACTTGGGAAGATGGTGTATAGTTAACTCTTCATCCCCTTTTGAACAATTTTTCATTCATTCGGCAAATGAAGTTAAATTAATTGATAACAACGACGAAAACCAAGAAGTAACAGACTTTTTAGAATGTTCGAATATTGAATATATTAATTTTGATTATGATTTATCAACTTTATTCTACAAGGAAAAAAAGACTTTATTTTTATGGCCTAATTTGACGTGCGATATTAAAAATACTACAAAATTCGCAAGTTTAAACAACAGATGCATTATTATTACTGGTGGTCACGGAGCTTTAGGTTTAGAGCTGGCTAAATTTTTAATAGAAGATGGAGTGAGAATAATTTATTTATTGAGTAGGACTGGCTCTCCTAAAAATGCGCTTCTAGCATCTGAAACTTATACTTATTTATCCAAAATAGAGGCCAATATTCATAACATAAAGTGCGATGTTTCTGATAAAAAACAAATTGAAACTTTGCTTAAAGATATAATGTCTAAAAATCACATTTTGATGGGTGTTTTCTTATGTTCTGGTGTTACTGAAGATTATCCATTGGCGAACCAACAAAAATCTCATCTAGTTTCAACTTATAATTCGAAGGCTTTGCCTGCGTTACATTTTGATAAACTATTAACAGAATACAATTTAGAAAAAAACTTAAGATATTTTGTTTGCTTCAGTTCGATTTCAGCTTTAATTGGTAGCTACAACCAAGTTAATTACGCTGCTGCAAATTCGGTTTTGGATGATTTATGTGTAAGAAGAAAAAATAATAATAAACGAGCTTTATCGATTCAATGGGGTCCGTGGTCTGAACAAGGTATGGCTAAATCGTTAGTCACTTTAATAGAAAAATCTGGATTGAAATGTATTTCTAACGCAGTAGGTATGAGAATACTTTACGCTTTACTAATGTTAAACCACAATGGCAACACTGAAGTTAAATTAGTCGTCCAACAGTTCATTTGGGGTCGCTTTTTCAGAAGATATACTTCAACTCCATCATTTTATAACAATATTCCATCGAATATGATTTTGAATACAGATTCAACCGATTTAATTGATCTGAAATCAACTCCAAGAGAAACGTTACTTGCCTTATTGGCTGAAATAGCTCAAAAAGTCAGTGGTTCAGACATAATACTCACAGCTAATATGTCATTATTCGATATGCAATTTGATTCATTAGGTGCAGTCGAATTTAGAAATAATGTTTTAGAATTAACTGGAGTTAGATTAGCTCAATCTTTAGCGTTTGAGAATCCAACTCTAAACGATATAGTTGACTATATTTATGCGAATGCAGGTATTACAAATACTAATGCTAATGCCAAAATAGAATCTAGTAAAACTGAATCAATAGATCAATGGTTGATCAATGCTTTGGACCCTGAGTCTGAAAGATATTTACTGTACATTGACAAGTTTATGGCAGAGTTTTCTTCCTTAAATGAAATTATTCAACATACAAACTTTGAAGAAATACTTGTTACAAAACTAAATGTAGATAATGCTAAAGATCTAAAAAAGCTTTTGAACTATCATTCAGATTATAAGAAAGCTCATGAAGCATTACTTGCTGATTCTGGATATAATTTAGATGATGTCCATACGTCAGGTCAAAAAGTCCCTCACCCATTAGAAGATAAAGCTGATTTAGAAGCACGAATTGATTTCGATTTAAGCATCATTAAACCAATGACCAACACAAAAGACATTAAACATGTGTTTTTAACAGGAGCCACTGGTTTTGTAGGAAGATGTCAAATTCACAGTTTGGTAAATTCAGTTACACATCCAAATTTAAAAATTTATTGTTTAGTTCGTGCAGAAAACGCTTCTCATGGGCTTGCTAGAATAAAAAAAATGTGTGAAGAAGCCGATTTATGGAGAGATCATTACGCCGATTATATTGTACCTATTCCAGGAGATTTAACAGTCGAAAAATTTGGATTAACCGATAAAGTATATCAAGATCTAGCAAGTAAAATCGATTTGATATATCATACTGGCGGAGACGTTAATTTGTTATGTAATTACAGTAAAATTCGAAGCGTTAACACTCTATCAATTGAGTACATTATCGATTTTGCCACAACTAAGAAATTAAAACCAGTTAATTACACGTCGACTCTTGGACAATATCCAGATTTATTTGCTTTCTTTACAAACGAATTTTCGGACAGATATTTGTATGAAGATACGTCTCCTATAATCGAAGAAATGGAAACATTTTTTCCCCCACAACGCCAAGGATATCCTTGGTCTAAGTGGGTAGCTGAAATGGTATTGAGAAAAGCAAGAGAAAAAGGATTACCAGTTTACATATATAGATTGCCAAACATGTATTGTGCTTACAGAACAGGTTACACTAACCGAACTGATTATGCTACTGCATTGATGATTAGTTCTATTTTAGAAGGCAAATTTCCAGAGAGTTCAGCATTTGCAGCTCTTACTCCCGTTGATATAGTGGCGGACATGGTTTGCGAAGGTGGATTATTAGATGCGAATACGCGTAAACACTGGCTTTATAATCTTATCGATACACGCGTTGTAGGCAAAAAAAAAGTCAGCGAGTGGTCTAGAAAATCCAGCATTAAGTATACTCCAGTTCCATTGGATCAATTTTTAGAAGCTGTAAAAAATAGAGGTCCATTGAGTCCAGTCTACAGGTTTGTTCCACTTATGCAGTATTGGCGAAGATATTGGTTTGATCCAAATGAAAGAGATACTGATTGGCCCATTAGAACTCAAAATATATTTGATGATCTGCCCCACATCGAGTGGCCAGATCCTGAGAAAGTATTCCAAAGATCCTTTTTGTTTTGTGCAAAGAGAGGCTACTTCTTTGCTCAAAGTCAGTCTGTTGACTTGTCAATAGACGCCATCATGGATGAGGCGGAAGAAATTACGAACTTAGACGATTTGGGAGAAGATCCAGATTATATTATAGAACCATTAAATCAATCCCTTAACAATGAGGAAATAAACAAGAGTGAGCTTAACTTTTTGGCGCGACTGAGTTTCTATAAAGTTACTGTGCAGTATTTAGTCAATTTACTTGCTTTTCAGCATAGCGAAAAAAATTACACTGAAATAGTTTCTAACAAAAACAGTTTCGATACGATATTTGTTCTTGGCCTTTGTCCAAATACTGTTAACGTCGTGAGAAAACTTATCTGCTTATTAAATTCAGATGTGTCTGGCATCAGCTACGCTGATCAGTATTGTTTATACGGGGAAGACGGATCTATCGGCCCCTTAAGCTCTAAACAACATACAATAAATGACTTCGCGCAAAATACACTTGACATACAAAAATTTGTTCACGAACAATGGAGACCTACTTACTGTAATTACGCGACAGAAAGCGAAAGTGATTACATAATTTTGGAACATGCAGGCAGAAGCTACAGTATTTCAACCTTTTTCGGCAATGATGCTTACCGTGATTGGCTGAAGAGCAATAACTATGCAGAACTGAAATCTGCTTACAAGTCTCACAAGCGCTTTTTGCAACACATTCATTTCAAGTACAACACCAAGTATATTGTTTGTGGCTCCTTGTATCATGGTCTGGCTATCGAAGCTATCAAAGAAAACTACCCAAACGCTAAAATTGTCATTGTACACAAAGACCCTTACGAAGCTTTACAAAACTGGTGTAACTACGTTTCCAATTTGAGAAAAGTTTTCTCTTTCGAGATAAACCAAGAAAAGATAATAACGCAAGAGTTTGAGATGTTTTCGGATTACCTGTCGAATATTGTACAATTAAAAGAAAACTCAAAGCACGATGGCTCAGTCATACACATGGCTTTTTCAGAGTTATTAAATAACACTGAAAAAGCCGTTTCTGAACTCACCGAGAAATTGGCCATTAAGGGAAGTTTGAAACTCAATACTGAGGTTGATCTCAAGTCATTTGCTGATGAACTACAGAAAGACACTATTACCATGAAGATACCGGACTATATTATCGACCAAACAGCAGTACACTCTAAATTCAAAAAATATTATGAAACTTTTTCTAACTACATATAACTTGTAACTTTTCAGCCATGATATTTTGGGAAAACTAATTATGATAATTACATAAATTATATTATTTTTATAAATGTGGAAGAACGTTGAAAATCTTAGTCCATTTTTTCTCAAATCCATTGGAAATCAATATACACTGGACTACGAAACCACTTGTTCAAGGTGTTTGAAGAAAAAACTTTTCTATTGCGCTAGCTGCAATATTATAACAAATGAGTCTCTAAAAAACAATTTTCAAACGTTGAAACTACCACTAAACGTCTTGATTTTGTTTAGCAAGGCTGAAAAACGAAAAAAATCAACTGTTTACTTTCTGAGTGCACTCGAATCGCCTCAAATTGAAATTGTGAATTTTTCTAACCCAGCAAAGGCAACTATCGACCCAGAAACAGACATCGTGGTATACATGAACAGCACGTCCAAGTGTCTTTCCGAACTAGACATCAGCAATAAAAAGCGTGTGGTATTTTTTGACACGACCTGGGCAGACGCTAAAAAGCAGACGAGCACAATTTTTTCTGGCGTACAGTGCTACCATTTGAATAATTACCACACTACTTTTTGGCGCTACAACGACAAAAGTTGCTATGACGTTAGATTCGGATTGTCTACCATCGAAGCTTTATTTTATTTTTTTGGTGAGTTGTACATAAATAAAAAACTAAACTGGGAAAACGCAGACGAAAATCTGAAAAAATTGATTGCCCTATATTCCGTTCAGTTTAAGTTGATTTGCGAGTCCAAAGACGTGAAAAACGCTTATGAAGTGACGTTGAAAAAAAATAATACTCTTAACTAAATACAAGTTGCAAGTGTTTGAAAAACGCCAACTCGCTTAAAGTCCACTTTGAAGCGAACGCCGAAATGGAACTTTCGCTTTCGTTATAAGTATGCCAAGTCGAGCTTTTCTGCAGTTCATTCAGTTTATTTATTGATCGCTCGAAACCATCTTTGGATTCGAACTTGGCCTTAGTAGCTTTATCATACACAAGATCATAAATAAAACTGGCGCGCTGGTTCATCATGGTGAACAGCAATGAGTACAGCTTTTCGTCTTCGGCCAGATAGGCGATGCAGATGCTGTACTCAAAAAATACGGGCGAGATCTTATTTAAATCCAAGAACTGGCTAGATTCGTGTATTATTGAATTTGTTAAAGACGTAATGACGTTGTTTGGTTCTAAATAACTCGGCAGCTTTATTTGCACAAGCTCATTGTCTTGCAACAGCATTGCAGCTGCCAAAGTGGTTGTGAACGTTTCCCCTGCTTTACGCTGAAAATTTTTTAGGCACTAAACTTACGTGGTAAATGCCATGATCTCCTAGCAATGAATCATATAAACCGACGCACGGAGCGTTGATTTTTGCCTGCACGCTCACAGGTTGTTGGTCGGCTATAAACTGATAAATATTAAAATAGTTTTCACTCAAAGACAGACCGTACTGAGATTTAGATTGTATAGAATTCGGACTGCTCATTATTCATTCCGTCGACACGTTCTCTGAAAATTTTGAATTTACGGCGAAACAAATATTCGTAATCGCAAAAAAAAATATTTTACAGTGAAATATTCGTCTTAATACAAATAGTATATTCAGTTTAGCTAACCTTGCAATAAGATAATGCATGACGACGTTGATTGATGTGGAATCGTCCGAGTCTTGCTCTGTTGCAATGATTGATTTTGAAAACATTCGTTTATCGTTTGAGCTGAATTATCCAGATAAACAGCTTTTATATATCGATTTTGTACATATTATCTTGCTTGCCGAAAAGGAGATTGGGTGTGTTTTCGACACCATATACATATTCGCCACCGACATCGAGGATTTGCTGAAAAATACCATTTATCGAATCGCTAAAAAAGCCAAGCTTGAAAACAAATCGTGGACAGAATTAGAAAAGGAAATTGAAAGTAATTTCAAATACGCGGGTTTGTTGCGTTCTGTGAAAGTTCTGTGTCGTACTCAGCTGTTTCTCATGTATGATGACTACGTTTCGAAACAAAAGGAAAAAGCGATTTCCGATAACATTCAAGCAAAACGGATGCAGAAAATTTTTGAAAAAAGCCAGCTCAAAAAACTCAGGGAAACGTGTTATAGTGCAGCAAGCGTTTCCCAGCGCGGTCAATCACCCGTAACTTCGGTACCGGAAATCCACTCGGAAAAAAACGTTGAAGACTGTTCCGGGAGCGATCTTGACTCCGACGTCATCGACTGCATTTCCATCAGTGAATCAGACGAATCCGCAGACTCAGAAGTCGAGGCTCTACCCAGAAGTTCATTAAAGCCAGCTAGTGAAAACTTCTCTCTACTTACCGTAGGGAATACAAACAGAAAAATCCGTATGAACACTTATAAATATAAATTAAAAAACAGCCAATCCATACAACGAGGTGTAGACGTCGGACTCGCAGTTGAAATAGTGAAAAGCTGTTTTAACCCATTAGTTGAAAACGTTTGCCTGTTCTCCGGTGACAGCGACTTTCTCGAGGTCATCGCTGATTGTCGAAAAGCTAATAATGTTGGTGGAGTCATCAAGTTTTCTAAACAAGCCTGGGTGTTTGGATTTAGCAGCTCCATGGTTAGCCACATTCAAGAAGCACTACGTGCCTCTTACAATGGACGCAAAAACATCAACGATATCAACTTTGTCTGTTTATACAAAGCCTTTCCGGAAATTCTTGCGTCGCTCCAGATCCCTGTGAGCGCTCGTAGACCTGATAGTATTTTGTACCGAAAGCCAGAACTAGACGGGTTTTCCGAAGTGAACTGCGAGTGGCAAACCAAAGAAGCTGTGAACTTGTTTTCAAAGCAATAAAAACAGAAAATTTATCTACATGCAGTTGTCTAAACATGCCCCCACCGAACAACTTGTCTAACAAGCAAAACAATGCTCAGCCTCCGAGACAACAAAACCCTTGTTCCATCCAGGGAGTTTTATCGCAAAATAGCGTAATTGATGAGACGAAGATACTTAATTATATCCACATTAACAACATGGGTTTTCCGCTTCAAATCAATCGATTTGACTGGATGTACATCCTTCACCGGCCACCACCCAGTTTGATTAACACTGCCATATTTAAAGCCAACAGTCCTACTTGGCAAGTTTCGCTACTCGGTAAATATCTGCCTTCTATTGTGCCAAGAAAGTGGCGACGACCAAACAATAATAACTAATTCTACACTACTGTTTACTGATATATGCTTTAAGCATTTCGTCCGTTGCTTTTGAGAAGTGAAATTGATCACTCGGCATAATAGGCCAAACCAGTTTGTTATTACTGAGTTGTTTCGCGTTGAAAAGATGTTTCCACCGGAATATTTGATTGCTCTGATTTACTTTGGCTTTTTTGCTTTTCATTTCACTTATTTTTTTTTTTATTTCATGCAATTCTTCTTTTAGACTTGGATCATTTTTTTCTCGCATAAGCTGTTCCAATTCTTGGTGTTGTAACTGCAACTGTTCTAAAGTATACAACCTTTTCTTTTTGAGAATTTCGTCA